TCTGCAAATGACAATACCCAAATTCATAAAATTATGTTCTTAAAATGGCAATAAAAGCAAAAGAAAAAGTAAAGAAATCGATGTTTAGACCCTCCCAATATTTTGAACATGGTTGAAAATTCATTCTTGTTTAGAGTAAGAGCACTCTTTTGTGCGAATGCTACTTTCTCAGCTGTGACTAAAAAAAAAAGGCAAAGAATTAGCATGATCTTGCAATTGTTATAAAAACAAAAATTAGATTACAAAAGATGGTAATATAACTTAAGAGACATACGAGTTCCATATGTAAATAAGATTTGTAGCGATGAAGCACGCACAAACCTCCCAAAACCCGAATTCATTTCGTATTCTAAGCTCCTACAAGATCAAGTTTGAGTTTCCATTAATAAAGAGTACATATGTAAATTAAATTTAAAAATAAATGGTGACAAGTGATACAAAAGGGTTTGAAGAGCCTACGCCAAGTTAGGAAGCCATCCATTGATTCCTATAACAATTTGTAGTTTTATTTTTGGAAGAACACGTTCAAAGGCATAGCTAGTCGCAAAGTAGAGAGCTGCTGCTGCTCCCAAGCCGATACCTCCTACTCCTTTGATTACTACCATAACCGACATTTAATCCTATAGTCATATATACCTTATGTCCTTATATATAGTAAAAAAATATGCATGCTAAGTTTAGATCATTCCCGTTGGATTACCTTTTTCTGGTTCATTAGAAAAAAAGGTAGCAACATATAAATTTACATTATCTAAATCTTGAAAATCATGTTGCATGCTTTCTGAAACCTTTGTGATGTTGCACCCTGATTCGTCATATATAGAGGATTATAAATACAATATATGTTAGTTTTCAATTCTATAAAATAAATATTTTAGAGATCAAATACTGATTTTCTTTTTCTTTTTTCTTTTCTTTTAAATTTAAGTTGCCAACTAAACTTACATGCATGGGTTTGCTTTCCACCCAAGGAAGTGACGGAACGCATAGGAGCATTTGGACAAATCCATTTTATCTATACCAAAATTATTTATTTTGATTAGAAAGTTCATTTTAATTTTCCAGTTTGGCTATAAGAAAATGAAATTAAATATGTTAATGGATCCATACATTGTGAAGTCCCAAACTACTCAGATATTCAGCTGCGCTGCAAAAGTAATAGTAAATGTACATACACCATTTAGTGAAACCAACTTAATTAATATCTTATAAGAAAAGACATATACTTCGAAAACTTGGTCACTTGTAAGTGATAAGAAAATAAGTTGTTTTTGAAAAAAAACTAAATAAAACATAAGGTAGTGATACAAACTTACCGATTGCCTGTGTGCTCGAGGTCATGCAGCCAGACTATTGTGGCTTTATGAGCTCCTATGGGTTGAACAACATAATTATTTCCAAAATTCCAGGTATGTCTCTAGTAGCCTTACTTTTCTTTTTCCATGAAAAAGCGTTTCCACTACCTATAAATATAGAATTATCATATGCAACTATTATTTCGAAGAAAATAGATATATGTGAAAGAAAATAGTCAAACAATTTTGATAACTATTGAACAAATATGAATAAGCTACAAGGAAAATAAACTAACTAGAGGCCATTCTGTGATGGTTTACTTCTTAATTGTTTTGTTTTTTGGAAACCTTTAAGATAAAGAAAATATTTTTACGAATATGCAAGGAAGACATATTGTGTATTTATATACAAAAAAATAAGTGTTCACTGTTTACTTTTTTTGTTTTTTTTTTACCAACAAAGGAGCCTTGCGAGTGAAGAAAAAACTTTTTTTTTGGTAAAATCTGAGCGGAAAATCTAGTATTAACATTATGATGGATTACAAAGATCAACTATACTACTAAATTGGATGGAACACAATTTATTATGAACAGATTTTCATTAGAAATATTAATTCGAGGCTTAAATTATTTAACACAATTGATAAATTTATTTTTAACTGCTACAATTGATAAATTATTTAACACAATTATTATTTTTCTTAGATAAAGCTATTAATTGTCTTAAACAAAAGTTATTTAATACTTATTACTATCCAAACAATAAAACTTAATTGGATGAAGTCCAATCCGGGAAAAAAGACCATACAAAAGAAAAGAAAACACTCTATAGCCAATCATGATGGTTTTTTAAACATTTTTTTATAATTACTAATTAGTTTTGTCTAAATATTGTCTAGCTTTTTTTAATGTCAATAAGTATTATATCATGTGCATTTTATAATCGAATCATAATTTTATTTAATGTAAATCTCATAGATTTACTTAACAGAAATTTGATTATTAAAACTTATTATTACACAAAATATTTTATTAAAATAAATCTGACCATGGTCTAAAAGATAAGGTTCAGTTCAACTGGAGATTTTATATACAAATCTCGAATTTCTGGTGGTTATTACTTAAAACTTAAAATTGTAATTTTACCCATTTAAATGAAGACAAAGAACAGAACATAGAAATAACTTTTTCCGTACACAACTTATCTCTGTTAAAAAAAATTAACTTAAAATCAAACTCATTTGTTAAAAAAAAATAATAACACTGAAAGAATGTATTTGGTTGGACGTTGTGATTTTTCTTTAATATTGCAAGAGCCAAGAGGAGACGGATAATTCTTAAATGATGATAAATTTTGGTAAAGAGTATATTTGCGAGTAATCAGCTTTTTCTCTTGTTCTTCTTTTCTTCATGTAAAGTAGTTTTGCTCTCGACGTTAAAATATTTATGTGCTTCTTTGAAAATGATCAATAGAAATCAGCTTAAGGGTTTATGCTTCTTGTCTTCATTCTATTGTTTAATTACATCCCAAGATTGTTTATCTTTTTATCATTCATCATTTTTTTTGGTTGGACTGTGATTGTTTATGTCCGAAGCGAAAGTCTAAGGATCAAAGTAAACATTCCCAAATCAATAGTCGTAAATGACTAATTTTAAAGACGTAAGTATTTTCAAGTCTAGAAAATAAACTAATCAATAAGTTGCGGCAATTAAACAAAGAACATGGTCTCCATATTAAAATAAACTACTCAATAACATATCAGCAGACCATCTCTTCTTTATGCCTCCTCTACAAATTCTAAAAAAGAAACACAACTGTTTTTTTAGCAGTTTCTGCCCCGAAATTAAGTTTGGTCATTCTCATCAGTCTTGCCGCAATTTCTCTCTCATCATAATTTTTTTGCTTAAGGCTTTAAGTTACGTTGCATAGTGACCTGCAATTGCCTTCATCAAAGACATCATTAAGTTTACTTGCAAGTTAAGCCTCTGTCTTGAGCTCAATGAACAAAATGTTAGGCTCCTTCAAAGTGAATCGTGACATGCAATTACTTTTCATCAAATACATCATCAACTTTACTCATGCTCGACTTGATCCCAAGTCCCGGGCTCAACAATTCGCATCGATGGTGGAATCTTTATTGATAACTAAAGTTCGTTCATGTTCCTCTCTTCTCATAGCTTCTAAATTCTCTATTTTGCACATCAGCATTTTCTTTAATTTATTATATTTTTTCTTTTTAATATTTTAATTTCATAATAATTAGCATTCATGTTTAACAAAAAATATGAAAAGTCACTTTTTAAAAAGGAGAAAACTATGTATAATCTAGAAAAACTATTATTTAGTAAATTTATTTTTGTTAGATTATATAATTTACATTGATGTCAAGATGTTATAAAAAGAACACTGATTTTTTAACTATTTTGGGATGAAATGAGACGAGACCGGACAAGATGAGACGAAAAAAACATAACAAGAGAAATGGGATAAGACTGGACGAGACGAGACAGACAAATTAGACATGACGAGATGAAAAAACAGAATGAGACGGGATTGGACGGGACGGGATGAAAGGGACATAATGGGACGAGAAGGGACGGGACAGTAATTTCACCTACCCCTAATTATATTTAGGGACCGGACAGAGACAAGACAAAACCGAAAAAAAAATATAACAGGATATGATGGGACTCGATAGGGCGGACAGGACGGAACGGGACGGAAAGAACGGGACAAGATGAAAAGGAATGAAATGGGACGGATGGGACTATACGGGAATTTTGTCTATCCTTAGTTATATTTAGGGAACAGGACGAGAAGAAACGGAAGGAACATGAACAAAATGGAAAGGAACATAATGGGATAGGACGGGACACAGATGGATGAGACGAGAAAGAATGGACATGATGAAAATGAACGAAATGGGATACAATGGGACAAGACAGTACGTTAATTTTGCCTAATCCTAATTATTTTTAATTAATATGTGTAATATTTTTGAAACAATAATAAACAATAGAAATAAACTAAATTTGCGAAAAAACAATAAAATTAACACAATAATATAAATTCCGCGCGAAGCGCAGATTACCTCCTAGTGTTAATATATTATCAGGTCTTCCAACCAAGAAATTACTTCAAATCAAATTGATCTTACCTTTTGCAAGAACTCCTCCATGCCCTGTAAAAATCGTAACTCCCTTTGTACATATTTATGTTTTATGTAACTGGCGCTGATTTAACAATTAAACGATATCAACAACAAATTGAAGTATTGAAATATTTAGGTATTTCGTTTATTTTAACAAAAAATAATAATAATTCGTTTACAACTTTGATTAGAACATGTGTGACTCACACAAAAAGCTGTGGTACACACAATGGGTGAATGTTTTTTTGCTAAATGGCTTTTTTTTATATATAAAAAAAAAAGAAAAATGGGTGAATGTTTGATAACAAGCTTTGTTTTTGTTCTCACAAAATGAAAATTATAAAGGTAAATAAATAAACAATTGAAATTACAAAAACAAAACCCGCGCTATGCACGAATATTTATATAATTTTATACTATAAAAGTTATCCATCTCTCTCCAGTTGATCGCCACGTTAGCATGGGAGAGATGAACACGTGCAGCTTTTTTGATTTTCTTTGAAAAAAAAAATCTTATAAAAATCCTTTCACCTTCTCTCTCATTCCCGATTTTTTAATGAAAAGGAAAAAATCGATTTTCTTTCAGCGTCATTTTTCTCTTTTTCTTCTCTCTCCTACCTCTCTCTTCTCCGTTGCTCTTCACTGACGATTTGGCTACTCGATGGTGCTTCAAACCTTTCATCGATTTCGAACCCAATTTCCGTCCGTTTTTCATCAGTTCGGTGGTCGGGCTTTCGTAATCACTGTGCGGTGATGAGAGTCGGCGAAGAATCTCTTCCAACAATCGTTTCTCCTCTGTGCATGGTAACTTTTCATCCACAGTCGGCTGTATATCGTAATCAATTAGAGTTTAGGACTTCATCGAAGCACTGAAAATAGCGTTTCTTCTGCTTCCTGTCAGAGTTTTTTTCACTTTTTTTATATTATTTTTGACTCGATTTACAATTTTCATTCTCATCGGTTGGATTTTGGATAAATCGGAGCTTCGATCCATATACTGCAACGGATTTCTGTTGAACGGTTTCAAAGTTTGTGGAGAGTCTTCGTTATCGCGTTTCGTTTCAGCGAGAGATAGATTCCCTGAATCGTCATGTTGCGTTTCTAGATTCCGTGAAGGAGTGAAATTGGTTCGTTTCGATAAAGAGGAGGATTGGAATGGCGGCGGGTGCAATTGTGACTGCCACGGGAGCAGTGGTGGTTCTGTATTTACTGAGCCGGCGGATCGTGTGGGCGAGAGATGGGGAAGATGATTCAGGAGGTGAATTGGGGATATCGGGGAGATCCGGAAGGAGGAGGATTGTGAGGAGGCCGGCTCAAGCTCCGGCGACTTGGCTTGAGACCATTTAAACTTTGTCGGAGACATTACGGTTTACGTATTCAGAGACGCTGGGCAAATGGCCCATTACCGATCTGGCGTTTGGTATTAACTATTTGATGCATAGGCAGGTTTGCGCTTTTGATCTCATTCTTAATCTTCTTCTTCTGGGTTCTTTTAAGAGTAAAGGCTTGAAATTTTCCAGTCGTTTCACGAGTTGATTTGTTTTCAATATACTATCTGTTCTTTCATCATTGTGGTGGCTATAATGAAGGAATCCTATATCGTTTTACTTTCCTGATAAGTCATATTTGAGCTCTATTCAGAAGTGTGTGAAATTTTGTCTTCCGTTTCATTACATTACATTGTAGGATGGTTTAGTTGATTATTCTACTTGTGGTAAAATGTCAAGTCACGCATGTAATCTCAAGGATTGGTACAAATCCACCAATTCAAGAAGCTGTCTACCACATTGTTAAGAGAGGTACAGCAACAAGTATCAAGCCCTGTTACATAACAGATTTTTCCTATTCATAATTCATAACTTAAAGTGTCTTCTCTTCTCTTTGCAGATTCGTAATAACCCTTATCAGTATCAAGTTACACCATCTGTGGAACACGAGAAGACCGCAGCAACGTATTCATTCCATAATGGAGACACTAAAACGAAAAGAGAGAGATGAGAAAGCAATCGAATCGAGAAAGAAGCGTGTGAGAAGAAAAGAAATCGTCAACGCCAAAAACCAGGGTACTAATACTTACCCTCCGGAAAATTGATTCATGTGAACGTGTTAAATTTCCCTATTTCGTCAAACCAAGATGGTTATTTAATAAACATATATATCAGAAAACGTAAAAGAGCCTTAGAATCTAAACAAAACTGGAATATTTATACAAAAATGTTGATTCGGTTAAACATCAACTATAACTTCTACGCAGAGAAACTGTTCCACATGGCCGTAAACGTGAAGAAAATAGAAATCATGGCGGGACAAGTTCATATAATGATAAAGGTACACAATACTTATTCAAGATTTTTTTTTTTAATCTCGTAGCGTTGGTTGTTGTATGTTTAGTTGTTGAATTATTTGAAACGATTATCAAGCAATCGAGTAAGATACGTTAAATTGGACAATGTATCGGTTTTATAACAGAGAGCGATCAAGATCAGCAAGACAGAAGAGAATGACCATACTCAGGAGTAAAAGGGAAGGAATACGTCTGCAAGGTAAGAAGACTTAAATAAAGTTCACATTTTCCTCACCTTTTACATAACATGGTCACAGAACTTATGAGAATAACAAAACCTACATTCCGAGCCAGTGTCACAGACTTAAAAAATTCCCTTTGATGAATGTAGCTACAAACATTGTTACTACTCTTTATACGTTCACTTATGAATCAGTTCAAGGAACTCTACTTCCTCTTTTTTCGAAGGTCTCTTTAATTTTCAGTAGAACTAACTCTTATTCCTCTCACGTCTTATTCCAATTTAATTTCTTCCCTGGCATGTTTATTTTGTGTGAGCAAAGTTCTTATCACCAAGTCCTTGATTTTCAGGGATACTGCTCCCTCGCCCATTAGCGAGCTAAGGTTCTGCAGGCGTTGCTAAATCTTTTATTTACTTGCCAAGATCGTACGAAACAGGGGATGCAAGTCGGTTCACAATATCGCAATTTCTGGTAAGCATTTCCAAGCTTAAGAAAGATTCATAGCTTAACAAATTTAATTCTTTAATTCTCCTAAAGTCCTACCTTATGATTGTGCTTTCCTATAGTAGATTTGTACAATCTCTTTGATGGATCGCTTGCAAATGATGATAACTCATCTTACTGGTAGGAAATTTGGTCTTGATGACAACACAATTCGACTTCTTTTGTCATGCAGTAGCTTTTTACATGGCTAACCGACGTCTCCATCATCCCACCCATGATATTGTGAGTCTGTGACTGAAATGCTCGCCAATTAAGTTGGTAAAGTCATTAGGTTATCATTATTGATTACTCTCATTGTTTCTTTTCGAATTTGTGAGCCTGGTGGTTGTGCTTTTCTTTGATTTTGCATTTATAGCAAACCAAACCAGGATGGTGGAGTGATGCCGATTGTCAAGGTGGAGAATGACCAAAGCTAACCACGGGGCTGAAACTAGATTAAAGTAACTGTTGTGATTTATTTGTAGAGTTTGTATAAGAGGCACAAAGGAGGATGGTTGCTGATATAGTGGTATGTTCTTGAGTAGTTTATTTCAGTCTCGTACAGTCATTTTAATTGCCGCAGGTTTGGTTTCTAGAGAGCCCATGCTCATGTCTTTACTTTTAGTCATTTATGAGTATAGATTTTAGAATGTTTACTTTGATCCTTAGACTATCGCATCGGACATAAAAAGAAATATGTCACACTGTCCGACAAGAAACAAAAGACTGATAAAAAGATAAATAATCTTGCACATATTCCATCTTTGTGGTAAATGAAGACAAAGAAGCAAAAAGAAATATTTATTCATCATTTCCAAAAAAACACGTAAATCGTTTCAAGTCGAGAGAAAACTACTTTAACAATGTGAAGCTAAATCTGATTACAATATCTACTAAGATTCACACTGTTAGTATAGTTTTAATGTCTGGGGCTAAGATTTTTGTATAAATATTATAATATATAGTCTCTAATTAATTCTAACATTAAATTTAAAACCAAGACTAATTAATTTGAACTAAGGAGGTGTCAAACCTTGATTTATTTTAGGATCCCCTTCATTTTTGTAAGCGATTGATGGTGTATAGATCATATAATTTGGTTATACATACTCTTTATTTGGTTAAGTCCACATAATTTTTGATGGTGTAGAGATCAAATTATAGTGTATACCTATTTGAATTAGTTAACTCTACAGAATTTTAGAATTGTACTTTCAAAATCAAAGTGAACTTAGGAGAGTTAGCTTTAAAAGAATGTTTTACCTTCTGTTTGGGACAAATATATTTTTTTGTTTAGAACATCGAAAGCATAATTCATGCTCGATATTTAATTTCAATACTCTTTTGCTTGAATTGTGTTAACATGTCTGAGTTGTGAAAAACATTTTTTTTTCCTTTTTCAAATGCAGCAAATGTTTGAAAGCAAAAATAGACATATATAATTAAAGCTTTGAGATTTAAGAGTTGGGACTCTCCCTTAAAACAAATAACAATATCTTCAAGGATTAACAAATTGTTACATGTTTCATTAAATCTGTGCATAAAACTAATATTCAATTATTCAGACCAAGGAAAATAGTTTTTTTTTCTGTTTCTATTAAAGTAGATAAATAAAATAAAATGACGCTATTATACATTTTCATGTTTTTGATGACAGAAACTATGAAAAAAAAGACAAATACATAACATAGATTTGTTTTGAAACATTAGTTTCATATTCTTTTCTAAATTTTTATATATATCATTATACAAATAAATAGCAAAAAAAATATTTGAAATATTTTATTAACTATAATAAAGTAAATATTTGAAATAAAAAACTCGATAAATTAAAGAAACAAACACAAATACTATTGTATTATTATGATTTTTAAATAATATTAAAAAAATGAAAAACAGAAATGTTAATAAGAAAAAAATAACTATACTAACCGCGCGTAGCGCGGACTTAAACCTAGTATTTAGACAAAACTAATTAGTAATTCTAAGAAAAATGCTAAGAAACCATCATGATTGGCTATAGAGTGTTTTCTTTTCTTTTGTATGATTTTTTTCCCGGATTGGACTTCACCCAGTTAAGTTTTATTGTTTGGATAGTAATAAGTATTAAATAACTTTTGTCTAAGACAATTAATAACTTTTATTTAAGAAAAATAATAACTAGTAGTTAAAAATAAATTTATCAATTTTTGTTAAATCATTTAAGCCTATAATTAATATTTCTAATGAAAACCTGTTCATAATAAATTGTGTTCCATCCAATTTAGTAGTATAGTTGATCTTTGTCATCCATCCTAATGTTAATACTAGATTTTTCTTTCAGATTTTACCAAAAAAAAAGTTTTTTCTTCACTCGCAAGGCTCCTTTGTTGGTCAACAAAAAAATAATAATTAAAAAGTGAACACTTATTCTTTTTTTTTGTATATAAATACACAATATGTCTTCCTTGCATATTCGTACAAAAATATTTTCTTTATCTTAAAGGCTAATTCCAAAAAAAAAAAATTAAGAAGTTTCCCATCACAGCATGGCTTCGAGTTTGTTTTCCTTGTAGCTTATTCATTTTTCTTCAATAGTTATCAAAATTGTTTGACTATTTTCTTTCACATATATGTATTTTCTTCTAATTAATTAGTTGCATATGATAATTCTGTATTTATAGGTAGTGGAAACGCTTTGAAATGGAAATTAAAGAAAAGTAAAGCTACTAGAAGCATACCTGGGAATTTTGGACAGAGTTATGTTGTTAAACCCATAGGAGCTCATAAAGCCACAATAGTCTGGCTGCATGACCTCGAGCACACAAGCAATCGGTAAGTTTGTAACACTCCCTTATGTTTTATTTAGTTTTATAAAAAAAACAACGTATTTTCTTATCACTTACAAGTAACCAAGTTTTCGAAGTATATGTCTTTTCTTAATTATAAGATATTAATTAAGTTGGTTTCACTAATTGGTGTATGTACGTTTACTATCACTTCTGCAGTGCAGCTGAATATCTGAGTAGTTTGGGACTTCACAATGTATGAATCCATTAACATATCTAATGTAATTTTCTTATAGCCAAAGTGGAAAATTAACATGAACTTTCTAATTAAAATAAATAATTTTGGCATAGATAAATTGGATTTGTCCAATTGCTCCTATGCGTTCCGTCACTTCCTTGGGTGGAAAGCAAACCCATGCATGTAAGCTTAATTGGCATCTTAAATTTTAAAAAAAAATCATTATTTGATTTCTAAAATATTTATAGAATTGTAAATTAACATATATTGTATTTATATTAATCCTCTATATATGACGAATCAGGGTGCAATATTACAAAGGTTTCAGAAAGCATGCAACATGATTTTCAAGATTTAGATAATGTAAAAATTTATATGTTGCTAGTTTTTGTCTAATGAACCAAAAACAGGTAATCCAGCCGGAATGATCTAAACTTAGCATGCATATTTTGTTACTATATATAAGATATCTATATATGTTTTATTTAGTTTTTTTTCAAAAACAACTTATTTTCTTATCACTTACAAGTGACCAAGTTTTCGAAGTATATGTCTTTTCGTATAAGATATTAATTAAGTTGGTTTCACTAAATGGTGTATGTACATTTACTATTACTTTTGCAGCGCAGCTGAATATCTGAGTAGTTTGGGACTTCACAATGTATGATCCATTAACATATTTAATTTCATTTTCTTATAGCCAAACTGGAAAATTAAAATGAACTTTCTAATCAAAATAAATAATTTTGGTATAGATAAAATGGATTTGTCCAAATGCTCCTATGCGTTCCGTCACTTCCTTGGGTGGAAAGCAAACCCATGCATGTAAGTTTAGTTGGCAACTTAAATTTAAAAGAAAAAGAAAAAAGAAAAAGAAAATCAGTATTTGATCTCTAAAATATTTATTTTATAGAATTGAAAACTAACATATATTGTATTTATAATCCTCTATATATGACGAATCAGGGTGCAACATCACAAAGGTTTCAGAAAGCATGCAACATGATTTTCAAGATTTAGATAATGTAAATTTATATGTTGCTACCTTTTTTTCTAATGAACCAGAAAAAGGTAATCCAACGGGAATGATCTAAACTTAGCATGCATATTTTTTTACTATATATAAGGACATAAGGTATATATGACTATAGGATTAAATGTCGGTTATGGTAGTAATCAAAGGAGTAGGAGGTATCGGCTTGGGAGCAGCAGCAGCTCTCTACTTTGCGACTAGCTATGCCTTTAAACGTGTTCTTCCAAAAATAAAACTACAAATTGTTATAGGAATCAATGGATGGCTTCCTAACTTGGCGTAGGCTCTTCAAACCCTTTTGTATCACTTGTCACCATTTATTTTTAAATTTAATTTACATACGTACTCTTTATTAATGGAAACTCAAACTTGTTCTTGTAGGAGCTTAGAATACGAAATGAATTCGGGTTTTGGGAGGTTTGTGCGTGCTTCATCGCTACAAATCTTATTTACATATGGAACTCGTATGTCTCTTAAGTTATATTACCATCTTTTGTAATCTAATTTTGTGTTTTTATAACAATTGCAAGATCATGCTAATTCTTTGCCTTTTTTTTTTAGTCACAGCTGAGAAAGTAGTTCCATCTGCATTCGCACAAAAGAGTGCTCTTACTCTAAACAAGAATGAATTTTCAACCATGTTCAAAATATTGGGAGGGTCTAAACATCGATTTCTTTACTTTTTCTTTTGCTTTTATTGCCATTTTAAGAACATAATTTTATGAATTTGGGTATTGTCATTTGCAGAGATCATGTAAACAACGAGATCCGCGCCTGGCTCGCACAAACCTTTGGGATTGGGACCTGAGGATATAACTAAACTTCGCATCAAGAAAATAATAATATTTAAGGAGCAAAATAAAACTATCGTACAATAAATATCTATTATTTAGCTTTCATGTATTTATGTCCTATTCATAACCTAATATTTTAATTAACTATTCATAAAGATAATGAAAAGAATTGGAGTGCACAAACTACCTTAGAATATCAATGCATTATAAAGTACTAGATGAATACTCGTGTGTAGCGTGGGTTTTGTTTTTGTGATTTCAATTGTTAATTTATTTATCTTTATAATTTTCATTTTGTGAGTACAAAAACACAAAATGCTAAAATGTGTTTAGGATCATGGTTATTGTAGATATCATTACAATTTTGTGAGTACAAGATCATGGTTAACCAAGATTTATGTCAATGGATCATAAACCTCTTTCCCACCTTGAAATTTCGTGTCCAACCGATTTATGCATTCCTAGAGCCTCTAAAACTTTAATCGCAGAGAGAGATAGAGTAATGATTAAATTTTTAGGCCTTGTTCGTTTTTGTAGCTGAATGCTGCATTTAGGCATTTGAGCATTCAAATGCTAAAATGTTATTTTTTTTTCACAAAATAATAAAAATTAAGATGTTGCATTTGAATGCAAAATCAAAAATATTCCAAATATCTAAATATTTGGAATGCTGAAAAAGATAGAGTTTGAATGCAACATTTGCATTTCAAAACAAAAAATTAAATCACATCAAAATCATACATATTTTTTTTCTCGCTAAAATCATAAAATTGTGTTTTCAGCCAAAACTGTAAAACGATGGCTTTCGGCCAAAATCGCAAAATCACGATTTTTCATCAAAACCGTGAAAACACGTTTTCCGCAAAAAACGTAAAATCATGTTTTTTCGCCAAAACCATAAAATCATGTTTTTCCGCCAAAACATAAAATCACGGCTATCTAAAACCGTAAAATCATGTTTTCCCACCAAAACCAAAAATCATATTTCCCGCCAAAACCGTAAAATCATGATTTCCGCCAATACCATGTTTTCCCGCCAAAACCGTAAAATCATGTTTTCCGCCAAAACTGTAAAATCATGTTTTCCACCAAAACAATAAAATCATGTTTTCACGCCAAAACCGGAAAATCACGATTTTACGTTTTTGGCGGGAAAACATGATTTTACGGTTTTGGCGGGAAAACATGATTACGGTTTTAGGGGATAGCCGTGATTTTATGTTTGGGCGGAAAAACGTGATTTTACGTTTTTGGCGGAAAACATGATTGTACTTTTTGGCGGAAATATGTGATTTTACGGATTTGGCGGAAAGTCGTGATTTTACAGTTTTGACGGAAAGACGTGTTTTTACGGTTTTGACGGAAAGACGTGTTTTTACGGTTTTGATGGAAATACGTGAGAGAATTTTTGGAAATATACCATTTAATGAGTTTTTAATTTGAAAAATACCCTTATTTTTTTTAGTTTTGAAGAATACACTTTTTTTTATATATGAAATTATTTAATATCATAAGTTGAAATTTTCAACTAATTTAATAAAAACAAAATTCAAATAAGAAATATAAAATATTAAGATTTTAAACAATCCTAATTCTATGTTTAGATTTTATTAAAAGTACTTTAAAAATATAAGTTTGTTTATATAAAGTTTAAATGAGGGTGAGATTAAGGTTTTTTATATAAAATTTCAAAAATATTTAAATTTGTTTAAATAAAAACAACAAAAATTGAAGATAGATTTATCCAATTTTAAAAATTTAATAATTTATAAAGTTTATATATATGTAAAGCTTTAAATAATAAATCTTCATTTGGTTAGAATGAGGATGAGATTAAGGTTGTTTATATTAAGTTCCAAAATATTAAATTCGTTTCAAAGAAGACATAAAAAATGGAACATAGATTTTTCCACTTTTAAAATTTTAAAATCTAACATATGTATATTTATCTGGATTTTTTATTAGATTCTATTATGTTTAGATTTCGTTTTTAATTTGTCATTATAGTTATTTATTAATGTTTTGTTTAAATTAGGTCAAAACAGTCATTTTGCATTTGAAAAGTGTATTTTTCAAAACAGAAAAAAACTAAGGTATTTTCAAAAAAATTAACATAAATAAGGTATTTTTCAAAGAACCCCAATATGTGATTTTACGTTTTTTGATGGAAAAACGTGTTTTTACGGTTTTGATAGAAAACCGTAAAATTGTGTTTTCCTACAAAAACTGTAAATTCTGGATTTTCATTTGATAGATTTTGTATTTAGATCTTTTTACAAATTTACAAAAAACAACATTACATCCAAATGCAGTTTATAAATGAAAAAAAAAGAACAATATCTAAATGTTACATCTGAAAATATATCTAAATGCTTCATTTGCATTTGGATATTCAAATGCAACAAATACAAAAACGAACAGACCACCCTTAGACAATCATTTCTTTACAACATTTGAGCAGCAACTGGTTCTAACCAAATCATAAATATGACTCCCAGTTCCTTGTCTTTTCGCAGATGGATTAACTACCAAACTAATAAGCAAATCAAATTTAGTGCAGCCAAACCAAACGAAGAAATTCGAAATTCACATCAAAGGTATAATATCTTTGCATTTACACACACTTATGTTAATTGTTTACTCTTGAGTAGTTTGATTTTTTTTTTTACTACTGCTAGTAGTACTTTCATGACAATCTGATGCAGCGTGATATTTGGAATATCTCCAAATATCTTAATTATTTATATTTTTTGTATTTAGATAAATATGTATTATTTTCTATTTTAATTATTATTAGGGTTTTATGGTTTTAGAGCTTTTCTTATATATAGTCGTCTAGGCTTAAAGTTGTATTCAGACTTTGATTAATTAATAAAAAAGAGATTTCCTGAAGAGGTTTTGATAAACCACTGTGAAGAGTATTCACAAACAAGAGCTTTTGCGAAAGCCCTGAGAGGAGGACTCTCAAACCCTAGTTATCCGATATTCTGCGGAATCAACGGATCTCTAGTTCTATCCCTAGAAGCTTCCACTACGTCACAATCCGTGATAATATGAATGAATATCTATTAAGAAAAGTATAGTATAATTTCAAAAATTAAGTCAAATAAAATGAAGGTTAACATTTTACCGACACGCTCTGGACACGTACTACGGTGACCATGTCAAATTAAGAGTCAGTTCAAGCCAACTACGGAGTAATTGATTGGATTATAAAAGTAATTTATTATGTAAAAAACGGTCAACTATATGATATATCCAGCTGCTTGCTTGCTGAAGAGCGGAAAGGAACACTTGTCCACCAAAAAAAAATATTAAGTAAATGAGAACGTGTTTTTTTTTGGTTATAAATTTGCAAAGTTAAAAAAACGTTTTACAAAAAGTAGCATGAGAGAAGACATTAAACATCCTTAGTAAAAAATAAGAAAGTGAATCCAACGCAACTGCAACTGCATGTCTTCATCTCATAGATTTTCTCACAAAATCGCTTTCCATTTTCCAAGGATGTCGGGACTGGCCGAAAGTTGACTGTTGACTTTTTCAAATCTCAGTTTTTAAAAAGTCTTATTTTGGCCGATAGTATAATTTTATCATTGTTATTACAAGAAGGGCAGCAATACATATGTATATTTTTCAGAGGGAAAATTGCAAAAAAACATTAAAAAAAACAAAAACAAAAACAAAAAAAAAACAAAAAAAAACAAAAAAAATCCAAGAAATCTCCCTTTCACCTAAAAAATTCCAAACAAAATTTAGGTATATAGTAAAAAAGAAATGGATGATAATTAAAAAGGTAAATGACTAAAACGTCATTGTTTTGTTTGGGCGATTTGATTCTTTTTTTTTTCTCAGAAAAGATCTTAAGGATTGGAAGAATGAGGATCACGAGAAAAGAGAGAGTGAAGTTCATACTTTTTGTGTATTAGAGGAAGCTCCATCAAATTTTTATATACTCTCACTGAAAATATTTAATAGAAGTCCCTACATGTATTACTACTGTAAATATGGTTTTTAGGACAGTATGAGGACATTAACACGTGGCTGACCATAAAGGCGTGGTTGGACTCGCGGAAAATCAAATTCACTGTATCTTTTGGTTTTAAAGCTAAACCGAGTCAGACGAAGCTAAACGAAATCACTCTAGGTTTAGAGCTTTCCGGTTTACCTTTCTTCTGGGTTCTAAAGACTCGACGCGGACCACGCGGTCTGTGGGATACCGAACCGGTTGAGCTTCCGAAAGGGTTTGAAGAGCGGACCAAGGAGAGAGGGATGGTTTGAGAGGTTGGGTTGAACTACTGAGAATGTTGAGCCACGATTCAATCGGTTTGGTTGTGACTCATAGCGGTTGGATTGAATGGTACGTGATCCCTTGGGATGAGACGGAAGGTTTCTTTACCAAAGAAATCGTTGCTAAGTCGTTGAGATTGGTAATGGAAGATGAAGAAGGAAAGGTCTATAGAGAGAATGTGAAGGAGATGAAAGGTGTTTTTGAAGACATGGATAGGCAAGATCGTTATGTTCATTCTTTCGTAGATTATCTAGTTGCTAATCGTTAACTTTTGGGCATGCATGAGTCTTGATCAACGGTGGATCTGTTGAAAGATTTTATGATAAGTTATAATGATTGAGAACATGACCAAGATCAAGCTTTAGGGCCTGACTGGTTTAAACGCTGTGATTGCGGTTGGGAGAGTTTGCAGAAGCGGAAGTTTGCGATTAAAAACGTAATTAAGCTGTTTCTTGATTTCAGAGAAAGAGACTTGTCCCTTGCGAAAATCAAACATTGCTCCCACGGTTGTAAGGAAAGGAGTCCCAAGGACCAGTGACATAGAAGCTTCATCTTGCATCTCTCTGATGTGGAAATCGATGGGGACTAGACATCCCCTACTTGCATCTCTAGATCACGCACAAAGCCATATGGAGTTGTGCTAGAAGCATCTGCAAACTTGAGCATCTTTCCAGGAGGCTCCATCTCTACAATCCCAAGCTTCTTTGCTATGATTTTAGACATGAGATTCACTGTAGATCCTGTATCACACAAAAGTCAATAAAGTCAATACCATTGATTGTGCAAGGGAAGATAATTTCACTGGATCTTCTCTCTTCTTAAGCCTCCTTTGATGTGGTGCTTTTGAAATAGGCTCATCATCTTCACGCCTTGTCACATGATACTTGGAAGGTTGATTGACTCTAGGGGCTGGTGAAACGGATCTTTCTTCTTGGTTGTTATCACCTTGCAAAACTTAGGGTTCTCCTCCACTTTTCCCGGAAGAACATTGGCTTGTCTCTTGGATCCTTCTGCAATTTGAGAAACTTGCACTTCCACCATCTTAACATGATTAGAGAGGTTGATAAATCTCTCATACAGCTCCTGGTTACTCCTTTGAAGATGATCATGCATGCTATCCATCTTGAAACCAAGGTTTTTGTTATCTTTGGCGCATTGCTTCATTCCTTCAATGAATTTCTCTTGATTCTCCATGAACTGATGCATCATATCTTCAAGGTTTCTCTCTTTAGGTGTCATGACCACGTGGGCCTTGGTCTAGAAGAGGATCTCCAATGCTTGGCTGAGGGTTTCCATGGTTAAAACCGTTGTGATTTCGGTTTTCATTGATGTTTCCAAACTCACCAACATAATTCACTCCTTCTTGATGCTTAGAAGAACTTTCACCAATGAGATCTTTATGATCCTTACTGCTAGAAGCCACCACGTTCTCACATAGGTCACCATTGCCTTGTTGGCTCTTGAGAAGTTGAGCAACCAATGACTTTAGCTCAAAGATTTCTGAAAAGTCAGATTTTGGTTTGATCTCCTCCACGCCTTGCACATAGTCTTGGTATGAACTTTTGCTGCTTGCTGCCAAGTTATCAATGAGAATGTTGGCTTGAGAAATAGTATTAGTCATGAAGTCCCCTTGACTTGCGGTGTTGAGCGCCATCTTGAATTTCTCATCAACTCCTTGATAGAAGAAGTTTAGCAAAGCAATCTCTGTAAAACCATGGTGAGGGCACTCTCTCTTGTACTCCTTGAACCGTGAAACAGCCTCAAAGAATGATTCATGTGCCTCATGTCGAAATTCTGAGATTCTTCTTCTCATCCATTTTAATCTCTCTTTTGGGTAGAAATTCTTCAAGAAAGCTCTCTTGTACTCATCCCAAGTAGTGATTGATCCTGCTGGAAGAGCCTTCATCCATTTGTATGCCTTCTCAATCAAAGAGAAAGAGAATAAAGTACACTTCAAGTAATCCTCAGAAACTCCACTACATCTCCTTGTAGCGCAGATTTCTTCAAACTTCTCAATATGATCAATGGGCTGCTCTTCCTCTAGGCCACGAAACTGATGCTGCTCCACCAAAGCAATGAGTTTAGAGCTTATCTTGAACTCTCCAGTAGGTGGTAAAGGGCATATAGGTTGGCGTTTTGTGAAGAAGATGTCTAGTGAATCAAACTCTCCGATTGGGCGGTTTTGAGGCTCCATCTTCTATGTCTTGTGAATCCTTCTTCAAGATCTCCTATCTCTTACTCAAGGTACCTTGAAACACACAAAGATAGAGAGAAGTAAAGAGTAAGCAAAAATAAGAACAAAAATTGCAAATAAAAATGAAAATTAAAGAATGTTTAGTCTAAACTCTAATCCGAAACTCTTAGGCAACTATTTGGTCCCCGGCAACGGCGCCAAAAACTTGATCTGGGTCAGGTTTTACCCAACTATTAGTAGATACCGCAAGTGCACGGATCGTTGGTAGTATGGGTTATCGAACACAAGGACCAGAAAAGTTGCACTATGAGCTTATGAGATTAAAACTTAGCTAAAACTAAAATATGGGGGTTTGGTTTTAGGGCTGTGAACAGTGACTATGAGTGATCTTGAAATCAAGTGAAACAAGCAATCAAATCAATAGGGAAAGCATTGGGCACAAGAGAATTCATAGGTCATCAAGGATTGGTTTATTTGGATAGTTAAACAAGGAATCAATAGATATGATCAAGAACTTGAATTATGAATGGATAATCAACTTACTCCCGCAATGTCAATTAAAATGTCTAAACAACCTAAGATTACTCTACTCCCATAGGTAATCAAGTGGTTAAACAAGCACAAATAATCCAAATTCAATATGTTCCACAAAGCATCATAATTCTACTCCCGCAGGTTATGGTGATTTGTTCATCTAAGATTATTTCAAGTGATTTATCAAGCTTTCGGAAAGTAAATCAACTCTAGGGCAGTAGCAGGACGTTCAGTCAAAGCTATAAGCATTAAGCACAAATCAAGATGAGGAACTCAATCAATAATCCCGAATCTAACAACCTAGTGATCAATCCATGAATCCCTTGAAAACTCTTGAACCCAACAATAGACTACTCAGCCATGATGCAAACAAACAAGCAAGAGATGTATGAAAGCATTATGTGAGTATTAAAAGAGATAAGGATGAAGAAAGCTTCTCTATTGAAGAACAAGTCGAAATCTCCCTTGAAACTCTCAAATCCGAAATAACAAAGTTTAAGAGAAAAAGGAAAGAACAAAGTGTAAAGGTTTGTGTGTGTGTGTGTCTTGATCTTGAGAAACGCCTCTTCTCTGCTTCTTCTGCTCTCCAGGACGGCTCTCTCCTCTCTGACGGCGCACATACGTTTCTCCTTCTCCAGAGGCTAAAAACTTGCATATATAGGTTGTAGGTCGGTTAGGGTATTGAAGTGCCGGAAAAAGGAAAGTTTCCCATGAGCCGGGCCTCTTTTCTCACGTCGTGTATGGGCCGACATTGTACCAAGGAAAGCTCCAAACATTAGCTAGGCCTCTTCTTAGCGAGCCAAGTCAAGGCCTTTGCGGTTTCTCGGGCCATTAGACACTCCAAATCTTCCATGGGCACTTGTTTGGTCGCTAACCGGAAATGTCTCGGTAGAAAATAAGTTTCCAGCCCGATGGTTGATCCAAATGGCTTCATTCCACTTCGACGTGATGCATGACTCAAGTATCTATCTTTCCATATCAAGATCGTGACTTTTGGACGTCGGGAACTCCTCCGTTCGCGGCCAAACTTCCGAAGCTTCGTTCTGCTCCGTAGCGAGAATTGACACTTGGAGATAAAATGATGCTCTTGACTTGGAAACTTGCATGGATCATGGTTTGAGGCTCTTTTGCTCCTTTTCCACCTTTTTTTTATAGTTTACCTGTTAAGACTCCAAAACCAACAAATACAAAAAAACTACCTCTAAAAGGTATAAAACATTATTGAAAATACTTAAAAACATATGAAATTAATAAGTAAAACCATATAAAATATGGATATATCAAGTATCAATTAATTAAAAACAAATTCGAAAATATTATTATAAATTATATTATTTTATTTTGTTCAGTTATTTAAAATCTAGAATTTAAAAATTGATAAATGTATAGAAATTTTAAAATCTATCTTCAACAAATTTAATTATTTTGGAATTTTATATAAAAAACTTTAATATCACACATAATCTATTATTCATAAACATTAATCATAATATAAAGTCACAAAAATAAGAATACAAAATGTTTTAGCAGATTATTAGGAATAAAATGTAAATTAATTTAAAATGAAAAACATCAAAATCAAATCATAATTTTTTTTTTTTTTTTTGACAGCAGCCTCTCCACCTAGAACGGCTCAGAAATCCAAACCGGGAGTGAAGAGTTTACAAATCATAATCTTTTATTTTTATTAATTAAATTTTGTTTTAACTAAATTATTCAGAAATTTCAAATTTGAATAATAATTCAAAGATTTTGTGATTTTTTTATCAATGTGCAACCGCCCGCAACCGCAAACGCTAACGAAAATGAGTTTTTGATTTCTAGTGATATAGAGCCGTACAGAGTGGTATTGCTCGATTCAGAGCGGTTGTTGTGATTGTTACAAAACGCTAGTAACCATTACCCACCACTGCGTTTGCGTTTGCGGGTAATAGCGGGAAACCAATCATCACTTTAGTCCATCATTGATGACGGATTTAATCCGCAGAACCATTCCTTGTTCATTCTTGATTATAGCCTCTGCGATTTCTCTGGCTTTCTTCAAGGTTTCCTCTCCTCCTTCAACTATATGGTTCACAAACCCTAACTTCTCAGCCACGTCAGCTGTTAATGGCATAGGTTAACGAAACTTCCGGAGCTTTGTTTGCTCCTATGATCCTCGCCAGCTTCTGAGACAGGCCCCAAGATGGGAATATCCCAAACCTTCAAAAAGCAGAGGATTTACACATTAATTTCTTCACAAAGCTTCCACATTTCATCTCAAGGCAATAGTTATGTACAGTAAGACCTAAGATGACTAGAATTTTGAATGTTGAATGAGAATGAGCTGAGATTTTTTTTTTTTTTTTTATGATCGAAGCTAAATCCGCAGAAGCAATTGACCTCACTGCAAGATTCAGTTCTCATGATCTCAAAAGAGATAACCAGCTTGGTATCTACTGTTGCTGCTGTGCGTACTACTACTCAGTAGAATTATTAGAATAGTACTGGGTTTTACCTCTTCTTGTATATATTTATATGTATGGATGTATAATAAGTTCATAACCATCCTATGGACTGTTATTGTTAGTATTTTTGTACCTTTAATTTGTTTCAGTTTTAATGTACAATAACTTGTGGTATGTTATCTTTGTAGCATCGAATGCTATTATCAACAAATTAAAAGTTGTAACAATAGAATTTTCTATATTATGTTTGGCGTGAGTGATACTACGCATACATATTTGTCAATAGATTGACTTATTCCAAGGATAACAAATATCAAACAGCTTGCTTTGATCGTTAAACCTACAAGGACCGGTTTGTCTTATCTTCCACACACACTTTTGGCACCAGGTGTCTCCTGAAGTATCTCGGTGGTCTTTAAATATGTCGAACCATTGCCGTCCATTTGGCAGCTCAAAGCTACAATAGAACAATGACCTACCAAAGAATTGACGCCTAAATCTAAACAACCACGACTCACCTGGTTGCAAGCTTGCGTTACCAAAATCATCGTCTTTTGATTTACAATGATATGGCAACACTTTGTTACCGAGATCGTTGATGATTTGCACAGTTATTTTTGCGAAAGGATTAAACAGAGAGTTTGTTGAAGATTGATGGTTTGGAACTGAAATGTTGTTGTTTAGGTAGGCATTTGATGATTTTGTAGTTATGAAGATAATCAATATGAAGAGTGATAGGTATTTTTTTGGAGTATCCATTTTTTGGTATAGGAGAGACTGGGAGTGTTTAAGCTAACACGATGTTGATTTGTAGTTGTTAAATGACTTATATAGTGTATTGTAGTAATGCAGTTTCAACTTTCGAAGATGATTTTTTACTCAATTCCATGAATATTACATCGGAATATTCTTCTTTCATTTAGGGTATATTTATGGTCAAACTTTAAGTTTTTATTTTTCTTTTTGTGTGGTCAAACTTAGTTACGTATTAAAGGAAATGAACGTTAATTTATGTCACAAAAAGAAAAGAAACGTTGAATTATGATAGACTGGTGGCCAGAAATATATGATAGGAGAGATGACATAGACCGTAGAAAAATAAATAAGAGGTGTCACCGTGTCGCTGCGGCCGGATGTTTCCGATCGCTGAGAAAACACTGCGGCAATTAAAGTGGTTACTGCGGCAGTTAAAGTGGTTGGTGGTGTTACTCTCCATATACTTGGAGGAAAATATAACGTATAATTATTGCCGCAATCGCAGACGCAGCGATTGTAAAGAACAACGCAAAGTGAATCAGGTATGTCAATTAGCAAATCGATCACAAAATGATTAGTTTTTTTTCCCGATTTGTTACTATCTGCAGAAAGTTATGTTCATATGCATGTGTCAGCATGAATATTACATCGGAATATTCTTCTTTCATTTAGGATATCTTTATAGTCAAACTTTAAGTTTTTTATTTTATTTTTGTGTGGTCAAACTTAGTTACGTATTAAAGGAAATGAACGTTAATTTATGTCACAAAAAGAAAAGAAACGTTGAATTATGATAGACTGGTGGCCAGAAATATATGATAGGAGAGATGACATAGACCGTAGAAAAATAAATAAGAGGTGTCACCGTGTCGCTGCGGCCGGATGTTTCCGATCGCTGAGAAAACACTGCGGCAATTAAAGTGGTTACTGCGGCAGTTAAAGTGGTTGGTGGTGTTACTCTCCATATACTTGGAGGAAAATATAACGTATAATTATTGCCGCAATCGCAGACGCAGCGATTGTAAAGAACAACGCAAAGTGAATCAGGTATGTCAATTAGCAAATCGATCACAAAATGATTAGTTTTTTTTCCCGATTTGTTACTATCTGCAGAAAGTTATGTTCATATGCATGTGTCAGCATAGTATGGTTAACCGCGAAAATATCCTAATTAGACACTGAAAAAAGAATTTGGTCTATAAAGTATAGTTAACGTTCAAAAAATCATTAGGCGTTAATCAGGCATGGGTTCAAAATTTTCGATTTTTCAAAAAAATCAGAAATAAAATGGAGATTAGTCGGGGAAGAATTTTTATGACATTTTTTAATTTATGAAACATTTTTATATAAAAGATAACACATAAATATGAAAATTATATATTTCAAGTTATTAAACTTTTATAAATTAATACTCGATTGCACTTTTGTTTTTTGATTTTCTGGATTTGTTTGATTTTGTTTCATCTCAGTATTATTTTTATTAGTGAGCAATTTTGCAAATAACACAATGTGAGATCTGGGAAGAGTTTCAGTTGCACCCACATCGATCAACAAATAGAAGCGGTTTTACAATCCGGCCTCGATGCAGAAGATGCAACAGAAGGCACAAGTTCAACATCAAATAAAAGAGAAGCAGTGACTGGAAGAAGAAGAGCATATGTGTTAAGTTACATGAGCTTCCAACTCAAAACCAATTGGCAACGAGTGGAGAGGCCCACATCCTTTATATACTACTTGAGATCCCTTCCAACTTTCGATGTGGGATATTATTCCCTAATATGCCCCATCGAGATGATGGCTCTTTGGCCATCTATCTCGGTATGTTCGGGCTTAAATCGACGGAACCATTTTTGGGCCTCGTCGATGATTGGACCAACTTTGGGTTGGATCGGGTTGGAATACGTGGATCGGGGCTCTGATACCATGTTAAGTTGCATGGGCTTCCAACTCAAAACCAATTGGCAATGAGTGGAGAGGCCCACATCCCTTATATACTACATGAGATCCTTTCCAACTTCCAATGTGGGATATTATTCCCTAATAATATGTTAATGGATGTGAAGCGTGAGGCAGCTGCATGCAACCGTCATAATGCCGCCACTTCATACCGAGAAAGGGCATGCGTTGTTCGGCTGACGAGATCCAATATATGTGTGGCGTCATCTTGTACGTGCTTTCTCACTATATTTTTGCTGATTCATGATGAAAATTATTAAGGCTTGCTATGCAAGCAAATATCTTTCTGGTATATACATGTTTCTTTTTCTTGTTGTATAAGAGATTTCTCTAGAATACTCTTTAGGGCTTCTACTCTCATGTGTATATACTTGTGTATTACGATCAATGAGAATAATTCAGATTAGCCAAATATTCTTATGGTAGCAGAGTGGGTTTTAAAAAAAAGTGTGAGAAAAGAGAAGAAAAACAGAGATGACGAAGGATGGCAAAAACGCGGAAGGCGGCAGTGGCAAAGCTTTGGCGGTTGCAGCGGCGGACCCTACTCTTTCGCCGTTCTACCTCCATGCTTCTGATGGACCTGGAAATTTGATTACTACAGTGCAACTCAAAGGAGAAAACTATGAAGATTGGGCTCTACATGTGCGGAATGCACTGCAGACCAAAAGAAAACTTGGTTTCATTGATGGAACTGGAAGAAACCGACGACAGCAGAAGATATTGAGCAGTGGGAAGTGGTTAATTCGATTTTGGTGGCTTGGGTGATGAATACGATTGAACCGACCTTGAAGACATACGATGGTTGATGAGGCTTTTGTTTTATGGGAAGATCTGAAATTGCAATTTTCTGCAGGAAACGGACCGCTTGTTAGTGAACTACACGCAGACATTGCAAACTGTCGACCGAACGGCGATAGTGTTATGGTGTATTTTGGGAGACTTAAGAAGATGTGGGATGAATTGGCAATTTACAACCCAATTCGTTCTTGTAGTTGTGGTGAACTAGCTACACAATTGGAAGAAGACCGTGAGGAAGAGAGAACCAACACGTTTCTCAACGGTTTAGAGACATCACGTTTTGGGACAGTACACTCCACCATAAACAGCATGGAGCCACTACCAAAACTCTCTCAAGTGTACCAGCGTATCATACGAGAAGAAAGACAGCAGACTATGATGCGTAACAGAGAAGCAAATATAGAGGCTGTTGGATTTGCAGCACGTGCTGGTAACTGAGTCACATTTAATCGGAGCAGAGATGTGACTTGTACTCATTGTGGAAAATATGGACATGATATGTCTGATTGTTACCAAATCAAAGGTTTTTCAGAATGGTGGGGAGAGAGAGGACGTGGTAGCAGTAGAAGTGGATTTCGAGGTGGACGAACTGGACGTGGTGGTGGTATGATTGGAAATTCATCATGTCTCTTTTTCGTCCCATTATGTCTCTTTCATCATGTCCCGTCCAATCCCGTCTTATTCCGTTTTTTTTCATCTCGTCATGTCTAATTTGTCTGTCTTGTCTCGTCCAGTCTTATTCTGTTTCGTTATGGATATGGATGTTGTAAAAGTTGATTGGAAAAGTTAGTTCCTTACATGCATGTTGTTTAAAAATATAGCATTAACATCATTTTTTCTATCTTAAAACAACAAATTTCATTTACCTTTTATTTGTGCTTTTCTTTACATGATATTAATGATATTAGATTATATGCATAGTTTTAAAAAGTAACTATATATAAACATAAAATAAATGTAAGAATTATGATATAATTGGCAAAAAGTTTGTAATACTCACAATCGCGTATTACGCAGGCTAAGCCCTAGTACTTTATAATACATTGATATTCTAAGGTAGTTTTTGCACTCCAGTTCTTTTCATTATCTTTATGGATAGTTAATTAAAATATTAGGTTATGAATAGGACATAAATACATGAAAGCTAAATAATAGATATTTATTGTACGATAGTTTTATTTTGCTCCTTAAATATTATTTTCTTGATGCGGAAGTTAGTTATATCCTCAGGTCCCAATCCCAAAGGTTTGTGCGAGCCAGGCGCGGATCTCGTTGTTTACATGATCTCTGCAAATGACAATACCCAAATTCATAAAATTATGTTCTTAAAATGGCAATAAAAGCAAAAGAAAAAGTAAAGAAATCGGTGTTTAGACCCTCCCAATATTTTGAACATGGTTGAAAATTCATTCTTGTTTAGAGTAAGAGCACTCTTTTGTGCGAATGCAGAGGGAACTACTTTCTCAGCTGTGACTCAAAAAAAGGCAAAGAATTAGCATGATCTTGCAATTGTTATAAAACACAAAATTAGATTACAAAAGATGGTAATATAACTTAAGAGACATACGAGTTCCATATGTAAATAAGATTCGTAGCGATGAAGCACGCACAACCTCCCAGAAGCCGAATTCATTTCGTATTCTAAGCTCCTACAAGATCGAGTTTGAGTTTCCATTAATAAAGAGTACGTATGTAAATTAAATTTAAAAATAAATGATGACAAGTGATATAAAAGGTTTGAAGAGTCTACGCCAAGTTAGGAAGCCATCCATTGATTCCTATAACAATTTGTAGTTTTATTTTTGGAAGAACACGTTTAAAGGCATAGCTAGTCGCAAAGTAGAGAGCTGCTGCTGCTCCCAAGCCGATACCTCCTACTCCTTTGATTACTACCATAACCGACATTTAATCTTATAGTCATATATACCTTATGTCCTTATATATAGTAAAAAATATGCATGCTAAGTTTAGATCATTCCCGTTGGATTACCTTTTTCTGGTTCATTAGAAAAAAAGCTAGCAACATATAAATTTACATTATCTAAATCTTGAAAATCATGTTGCATGCTTTCTGAAACCTTTGTGATGTTGCACCCTGATTCGTCATATATAGAGGATTATAAATACAATATATGTTAGTTTTCAATTCAATAAATATTTTAGAGATCAAATACTGATTTTATTTTTATTTTTTCTTTTAAATTTAAGTTGCCAACTAAACTTACATGCATGGGTTTGCTTTCCACCCAAGGAAGTGACGGAACGCATAGGAGCATTTGGACAAATCCATTTTATCTATACCAAAATTATTTATTTTGATTAGAAAGTTCATTTTAATTTTCCAGTTTGGCTATAAGAAAATGAAATTAATATGTTAATGGATCATACATTGTGAAGTCCCAAACTACTCAGATATTCAGCTGCGCTGCAGAAGTAATAGTAAATGTACATACACCATTTAGTGAAACCAACTTAATTAATATCTTATAAGAAAAGACATATACTTCGAAAACTTGGTCACTTATAAGTGATAAGAAAATAAGTTGTTTTTAAAAAAAAAACTAAATAAATTAAATAAATATAAGGTAGTGATACAAACTTACCGATTGCCTGTGTGCTCGAGGTCATGCAGCCAGACTATTGTGGCTTTATGAGCTCCTATGGGTTTAACAACATAAATATTTCCAAAATTCTCAGGTATGTCTCTAGTAGCCTTACTTTTCTTTTTCCATGAAAAAGCGTTTCCACTACCTATAAATATAGAATTATCATATGCAACTAATTATTTCGAAGAAAATAGATATATGTGAAAGAAAATAATCAAACAATTTTGATAACTATTGAACAAATATGAATAAGCTACAAGGAAAATAAACTAACTAGAGGCCATTCTGAGATGGTTTACTTCTTAATTGTTTTGTTTTTTGGAAACCTTTAAGATAAAGAAAATATTTTTACGAATATGCAAGGAAGACATATTGTGTATTTATATACAAAAAAATAAGTGTTCACTGTTTACTTTTTTTGTTTTTTTTTTACCAACAAAGGAGCCTTGCGAGTGAAGAAAAAAACTTTTTTTTTGGTAAAATCTGAGCAGAAAATCTTTTTTTTTGTTTTTTTTTTTTTGGTTTGAAATGAGCAGAAATCTAGTATTAACATTATGATGGATTACAAAGATCAACTACACTACTAAATTGGATGGAACACAATTTATTATGAACAGATTTTCATTAGAAATATTAATTCGAGGCTTAAATTATTTAACACAATTGATAAATTTATTTTTAACTGCTACAATTGATAAATTATTTAACACAATTATTATTTTTCTTAGATAAAGCTATTAATTGTCTTAAACAAAAGTTATTTAATACTTATTACTATCCAAACAATCTTATATATAATTAGGGAGTTGCTCTCTCCTGTTAGAGACATCAACAAAGAAAAAAAAATCAATTAAATCAAAATTAATAATTCAATTAATATACACACTTTCATACTATCATTAAAAGACATATTATTCACACAAAAACATTAAACTGTATAAAAAACGAAATAATTTATAAATATATTAAAGATAAAAAAATAAATAAAGATTGGCTGAACTTCAAATTTAAAAGATAAAAATGTACTTTTAACAGTAAATGCAAGAGATTTTGTTTAAAAAAAATATCAAATGTACTGGAATTTTATTAAGCTTTATATATAACATATATTATGTAAAGATATAGTGTATCAATGTATGTAACAAAATTAATGTCCAATATTTAACTGTTAAAATGTTAATATTAACAGTTAAAGTTAAGTAGGAGTAATAAAAATAATTTAGTCATTTTTTCTAACATATTTAAGATGAGTTATTGTTTGCTCAATTTTGTTTTATTTGTATACATTTATAATATATGAATGCATAAATTACAAAACATTAATATTATAGAGAGTGACACAAAGCAAAAACACTAATAAGAGAATATTTTGTAAAATATGTCAATGACGAACAACCCCAAAAAGTCTTTAGAAACAAATTGATCATATTTTTAGTGTTAGTGGTTAATTTAACTCAAAAGATAACCAAAATATGGAATTTAACAACAAACCATCATAATTTAAACTAAGGAATATAAATAAAATCAAACTGAAAAACTATCGCAAACAACTCTGCGCTTGTGCGGGGATTTAATCCCTAGTAAAACTTAATTGGATGAAGTCCAATCCGGGAAAAAAAACCATACAAAAGAACAGAAAACACTATAGCCAATCATGATGGTTTTTAACATTTTTCTTATAATTACTAATTAGTTTTGTCTAAATATTGTGTAGCTTTTTTAATGTCAATAAGTATTATATCATGTGCATTTTATAATCGAATCATAATTTTATTTAATGTAAATCTCATAGATTCACTACAAGAAAACATACATTTTGCAACGAAATTTTACAACGAATTTATTTTGTCGCAAAATAACGTCAATTTAGCGTCGATATTACGACGAAACACAACATCGTTGTAAATTTGTCGTAAATCGGGACTATAAGCAGTCGTAGTAAATTCGTCGTTAAATAGCGACGTTGTTGCAACGAATTAACTACGTTTATATGTTTCGTTGGTAAAATGTTGTAAATATACGAAGAATTGACAACGACATTATTATATAGGTAAAGACCGTCGAATTACCAACAAGATAAAGACGTAAAGATTTTCGTAGTTAATCTATTGCTAAATGCCGACATAAATAGCGACGTGTTAGCAACATAAGGTTCTATAGTCACTCTAACGTTGTTAATTCGTCGTAAACCTAAACCCTAAACCCTAAAAATAACATGTTGCACTCAATTTTTCAATTACCAACCTAACCAATCAACAAATGATAATTTTTTTCATGTTTAATCCAAGTAAACGTAAGTTTCAAACATTACAAAGAAAATGAACAAGTGTTTCTTATAGTATAAGGTTTACTATATGTTATCTTAGAGGATTTCTTATAATTTATGATCTTTTCCAAATATATTGTTGTATTTTGTTATTACAACTTCTTTTATAGCTTTTACTTACTCTTCTCATACGAGTAAAAGAACGTCTAACAGTTTAGGGAAAATTTAGGGTTTAGGGTTCATATTAACAACGAATTTCCGCAGAGGCGTCGTAAAAATGAAGCAAAATCGTGTCAATTCTTAAAATGTTTCCTCGGACTAAATCGAATTATAATATTCTGTGGTCCCGGTTTAACAACAAATTAACGACGATTTGGGACACCTCGTTGTAAATTTGTCGGTAATAAGTATGAAATTTTTTAGCGACAAATTAACAACGATTTCTTGGTAACCGTTGTTAATTCGACAACGAATTAACAAGGACATCAAAAATTGAAAAAATAATAATTCCCGCGTGCGTGAAAACAAAATTTTGCGAAAAGTTTTAGCGACGAATTTACGACGATTACCAAGAAATCGTTGTTAATTCGTTGGTAATTAACGACGAATTACCAAGGGACATCAATAAATGGAAAATTTTAATTCCCGCATGCGGGAAAACGAAATTTTGCAAAAAACATTATCGACGAATTAACGACGATTACCAAGAAATCGTTGTTAATTCGTTGGTAATTAACGACAAATTACCAAGGGACATCTGTATTTACGAAAAAATTTAGCGACGTATTTACGACGATGCGTAGAGGGATCCACACTTCTTTCACACTTCCATCTCCCTTTGATTCTCACTTGCAACTCTTTCGATATCACTCTCTTCTCACCGACACTCTCTCTCCCGGCTGGAGACCTCTCTCTCTCTCCGCCAAGCCTCCCTCTCCCGCCGGACCTCCCTATCTTCACCGCTCCTCTCTCTCCCGCCGGACCTCCCTATCTTCACCGCTCCTCTCTCTCCCGCCGGACCTCCCTCTCTCCGCCAACCCTCTCTCCCGCCGGACCTCCCTCTTTCTTCCGGCCCTCTCTCCACCGATACTCTCTCGGATTATTAATTATTATATTATTCTTATTTTTTTTAAAAGAAAATATAATCGTCGCAAATACGACGCAAATTAAATATTAAAAAACGACTTTCGTTGTTAAATCGAAGCAAACTTATAACAGATTTTGTTGTTAAATCGTTGCAAATTTGCGACGATTTAACAACTAAATATATCCGACGTTTTTTCGATGTAAACTTGGCGTCGATTTGAAGCCTCCTTGTAAATCTGTCGTAAAGGTTACGACGATTTTAGGACGTTTAGGTTGCGACGAATTAACGACGATTTTTGTTCGTCGCTAATTAGCAACGAATTAACGACTATAGGACATTAGCTTCGACAGCTTAACGACGATTTCGAACTCGACGCAAATCCGATGCCAAGGTCGATTTAACAATGTTTTCGGCCGTTGCAAAACGCCTGTTTTCTTGTAGTGATTTACTTAACAGAAATTTGATTATTAAAACTTATTATTATACAAAATATTTTAATAAAATAACTCTAACCATAGTCTAAAAGATAAGGTTCAGTTCAACTCGAGATTTTATATATAAATCTCGAATTTCTGGTGGTTAAAACTTAAAATTGTAATTTTACCCGTTTAAATGAAAACAAAGAACAGAACATAGAAATAACTTTTTCCGAGTACACAACTTATCTCTGTTAAATAAATTAACTTAAAATCAAACTCATTTGTTAAAAAAAAATTAATTACACTGACAGAATGTATTTGGTTGGACGTTGTGATTTTTCTTTAATATTGCAAGAGCCAAGAGGAGACGGATAATTCTTAAATGATGATAAATTTTGGTAAAAAGAGTATATTTGCGAGTAATCAGCTTTTTCTCTTGTTCTTCTTTTCTTCATGTAAAGTAGTTTTGCTCTCGACGTTAAAATATTTATGTGCTTCTTTGAAAATGATCAATAGAAATCAGCTTAAGGGTTTATGCTTCTTGTCTTTATTCTATTGTTTAATTACATCCCAAGATTGTTTATGTTTTTATCATTCATCATTTTCTTTTCGGTTGGACTGTGATTGTTTATGTCCGAAGCGAAAGTCTTAGGATCAAAGTAAACATTCCCAAATCAATAGCCGTAAATGACTAATTTTAAAGACGTAAGTATTTTCAAGTCTAGAAAATAAACTAATCAATAAGTTGCCGCAATCTTATAAATAATAAGAGAGTTCTTCTCTCTATCTAGGCTATCCACACCAGCAAAAACGTTCATTAAATTGTTTTTAAGATATTTAATACATGACTATTCATATTTCTTTACCTATATTTATAATTATATTTTCAAATAGAAATAAAAATAAGAAAAATACACAACTAAATTACTTAATTAATATAAAGTATGCAATAACTTGATGTTAAAAGTTATTAAAAAGTTTGGATATAAGTAAAAAGGATTAAAAGGATTTATCCTACTTTATCCTAATTGTTTTTAAGTTATCAAAGTTTATTTTTTATCCTAATAGGAGAGTTACTCTCTCCATCTAGAGTGTCCACATCATCACAAAAACATTCAATTGTATTTAAATTATTTATTAAATATATGACTATTCATATTTATTTACATTTATTCATATTTAATAACCATATACAAATAAATCTTATAATTAATAGAAAGTATGTGATAATTTGATGTTAAAAGTTATCAAAAAGTTAGAATAAAAAATAGAGATGGAGTAAAGAAATATTTAACTTCAAATAATATATATTTACCTTTTTATTCAAAGGATTTATCATATTTAAAAATGTTATAATGTGTTTACAAGTTAAAAAGTTGAACATAAATTAATTAAGATTATAGAAAGCTAATGAAACATTAGAGTTAGAGTTTTTTTTTCTAAAAAAATAGAAATGAAGTTTTATAATTGTAGTGAAAAACAAGAATATGTTTACAAATTTTTACCTTCAGTCACATGCATATACATATTTATAAATTTTAACTTTTAATCAAATACATATACATGTTTACAGTCTAATAGAAGTAAAAAAAAAAAAGTAAACAAGCATAATATTTATAACATGATAAATTTTAGAAATAGAAAATTCGAGATAAAACGGGGTGTTAATATCCTAATAAATTAAAATAAAAAACAAATTGTTCATATATTTTTAGTGTTAGTGGTTGAGTTAACTCACAACATAACAAACACATGAAAATTAATACAAAGCCATCATAATTCAAATCAATAAGTATAAATAAAATTAAATAGAAAAACTATTGCAAACAACCCCGCGCTTGCGCGGGGCTTGAAACCTAGTTAAACAAAGAGCATGGTCTCCACATTAAAATAAACTACTCGATAACATATCAGCAGACCATCTCTTCTTTATGCCTCCTCTACAAATTCTAAAAAAGAAACACAACTGTTTTGTTTAGCAGTTTCTGCCCCGAAGTTAAGTTTGGTCATTTTCATCAGTCTAGCCGTAATTTCTCTCTCATCATAATTTTTTTGCTTAAGGCTTTAAGTTACGTTGCATAGTGACCTGCAATTGCCTTCATCAAAGACATCAAGAAGTTTACTTGCAAGTTGAGCCTCTGTCTTGAGCTCAATGAACAAAATGTTAGGCTCCTTCAAGGTGAATCGTGACATGCAATTACTTTTCATCAAATACATCATCAACTTTACTCATGCTCGACTTGATCCCAAGTCCCAGGCTCAACGATGTTCACCGATGGTGGAATCTTTATTGATAACATGTTATCGGGTCTTCCAACCAAGCAAATACTTCAAATCAAATTGATCTTACCTTTTGCAAGAACTCCTCCATGCTCTGTAAAAATCTTAACTCCCTTTGTACATATTTATGTTTTATGTAACTGGCGCTGATTTAAATTAAACGATATCGGCAACAAATTGAAGTATTGAAACATTTAGGTCTTTCGTTTATTTTAACAAAAAATAATAATAATTTGTTTACAATTTTGATTAGAACATTGAAGATGCAACTGGTTTGACGCAGATCGTGAATCAGTCAAGAAGTGCATCAGGACGTATGGACGGACATGTAGCGGAGCTAAGCGGAGCTTAACGGAGCTAAAGGATTGATGCTGAGCTGGATGCGAGCTTGTAGCGGTTAAGGACGAATCCAGAAGAGGCGGTAGCTGAGCTGGATGAGGAGATTTGGATTATCAAGACAAAAGGGATATTTCCTATTCTTAGAGAAAAATAAGGAAAGGAAATATTCCTTTGGAGATTTGGAGTAATCACCAAGACACAACCTTGTAGGGTTTGGCGGTTCGTCTATTGAGGATAAATAGAGGACCTTGGCTGCTTGTAAGCGGCTATCACAAATATTGAGAGCTTTAGACTTTGGGTTTAGATCATCTTGTAAGAGAGCTAGGACAAAGGGTTAGGGCTTGAGAGGTTCGAAGATCGTGGATAGATCTGAGAACAGAGTGTTACTAGAGCAATCAAATCGTGGATAGATTGTGGTTGTCAATTCGTTTAAGCAATACTTGTAAGTTACACTTAAAGAATTTCTAGTAATATATTTCTTTGTAGAGAAATCCCTTGTGCCAATTTGTGATCTTCTTCCATATCAATAGCCCCTGGTTTTTCAATTGGTATCAGAGCAGTCACCTTGCGTGTATTGCTATAGCAGGTGAGATCTTGCGGAATGGAGGGCTATCACCCAGAGCTGAAGGTGATACTTGATGATGGAAACTACACGTACTGGAAGGCAAGGACGAGAGCAAATATTCAATGTATTGATGAGGCCGCCTGGTACTTGACTGAGCATGGATGGAAACCACCTACAGTCAATTGAAGGAGTAACTACAGCAGTGCCTCGAGAACGCTGGACTACAGCCCAACGTGATGATTACAAGTTCAATGCTAGAGCACTGGCACAGATCAATGGTAGTTGCTCAAAGAAACAGTTTGAGCTGATTCAGGGCTGTACTACGTCAAAGGAGGCGTGGGATATTCTCCAGATCCACTTTGAAGGGACAAGTCAAGTTCAAAGCTCAAGGAAGGATCTATTGGCAACTAAGTTTGAGAATATGAGGATGGAGGAACATGAGTCAATTGCTGACTTTAGCTCGAAACTTAGCTCACTCGTTCAGGAGTCCCGTACCCTGGGAAAGGTATACAAGGATGCTAAACTAGTGAAGAAACTTCTTCGGTGTCTTCCAGACAAATTCACAGCATACAAGGCTGGACTAAGTGCAAATCCTATCTGGGACGATCTCCTATGACGAGATGGTGGGAAAACTGCAGCTTACACGAACTGGAACTAGGAGGTGTCAAAAAGACTAAGGGTATTGCACTCATATCAACGGAGAAACAGTTGGAAGAAGAGCCTGAAGAAGACAGTATCAGTCTCCTGGTACGTCGCTTTGACAGAGTCTGAAGAAGTATGAAACTGGAAAAACTCAGCCTCGTGTCAACAATGGAAGGAAGCCTATGACAAGAACGAGGGGAGCGAGTAAAACCGAGTCACAGTGTCATGAATGCAAGGGATATGGACACTTCAAGACCGACTGCCCCACTGTCAAGAGGAGAAGCATTACTTGCTACAAGTGCAAAGGAATAGGTCATACACAACAAGAATGTGAGTATGATGAGAAGATGGGGAAGTCGATGATGGGTTGCTGATGAAGATTCTGAAGGAGAGTCTGAAGATGAGGAAGAAGTCAGTAACTTTGTCGCATTTGCTGGAATTGCTGAAATAGAAGATACAAAGATCTCTGAATCTGACCAAGAGGATACTCACAGATGATGAATCTGAAGTTGATATCCATGAAAGCTATAAGGAAGTTCGTAATGCCTTGGTAGAAGTTGGGAAGGAAAACATTGAGCTCAAGAAGGAGAATACTCGTCTTACTGCACGAGTTGACGAACTTCAGAAAGCACTTCAAGCCGAGAAGGATCTCAACATGGATAATCTTAACATCGTGCTTGAAAAGATGGATGCAGTTAAACGAGCAGACGACATTACCAAGGAGTACTTTCTGGAAAAGGAGAATTCCAGAAATCTACAAGCTGAATTGGATCAACACAGAAAGCAACTCAAGATGCTGACTGGTACTAAGGAACTCGACAAGATTCTGAGCATTGGCCGTGTAGGGAAGTCAAATCTTGGTCTAGGATACACAACCAGCAGTGTTACAACTGGAAAGAATGTCAAGTTTTCTCTGGAGGGTTGGCTCAGGATGTCCATCAAGCAGATACTAAGACACCAGCTCAGAAACTTGATTCCATTCTCAAAACTGGGAATCGAGGGAAGAGCACCATGGGACTGGGATATGATTCTTCTCCAACTCGCAATCCGAAAGGATTTCAGAGTCCAAGAGGAAAACATCAAGGAAAGGAGTGCTATTTCTGTGGGTCCTTAGGACATATCAGGGCTTTCTGCAACAAGTACTGGGCTAGAGTCGACTATGCATGGAAACGAGGACGCTATCATTGGAATCGTCATCTAAACCAGTTCTTCATCAGAAAATCGGATCTATATCAGAATCCTGCCCGACGTACATCAACTGGTGGTTCAAGACAGCGTGTCTACTCCAACATGGCCTTACTTGAAGAAATCGACGAAGCTGACAACACTGGACCATGGTACTTCGATAGCGGATGCTCCAGACACATGACAGGAGTCAAAGAAAATCTTCAGGAAGTGAAGAAGCTAAAAGGAGGGAAGGTCACTTTTGGATGTGGAACCAAAGGGATGATTCAAGGCAAAGGACGCACCTCTGATGAGCAACCACAGCTTATGAACGTCTATCTCGTTCAAGGTCTGAAGTCAAACTGATCAGTGTCAGCCAGCTTTGTGATGAAGGTTTAACGGTCTGGTTCAACAAGATAGAGTGCAAAGCCATTGACTCTGACGGAAAGACAGTCTACGAGGAGTTCGTTCAGGCAACAACTGCTACATGTGGGATCAATCTGCAAAATGCTTAAGTGTCCGAGATGATGTTGAACTATGGCACAAACGATTGGGTCACATGAATGTTCGACATCTCACCGACTTGGTGAATAAGGAGATTGTTCGTGGTGTTCCGAAGCTGAAGGGAACTGAGAAACTTGTGTGGTCCTTGCAATCAAGGAAAGCAAATCAAGGTCCAGCACAAGAAGGTGCCAGATGTACAATCCAAGACTGTTTTGGATCTAGTACACATGGATTTTATGGGACCAATGCAAGTGGAGAGCATTGGAGGAAACGCTATGTCTTTGTTCTAGTGGATGATTACTCGCGATACACTTGGGTGCGCTTCATTCGTGACAAATCTGACACCATGGCGAGTTTCAAGATTTGGGCACTTCAAGTCATCAATGAGAAAGGAAGCATCAAGCGCATACGCAGTGATCATGGGGGAGAATTTCAGAATGAGGCTATGAAGAACTTCTGCAATGAACAAGGCATAGCTCACCAGTTTTCAGCGCACCTAGAACACCACAGATGAATGGAGTAGTTGAGCGAAAGAACAGAACACTTCAGGAAATGGCGAGAGCAATGATCCATGGAGGAAACATTCCAGTGAAGTTTTGGGCTGAAGCAATCAACACCGCATGCTACATCATAACCGTGTCTACATTCGAAAATTTACTCAAAACTCCTTATGAGTTTGGAAAGGAAAACACCTAATCTAAGTTACTTTCGTGTCTTTGGATGCAGGTGTTATATTCTGAATGACAAGGATCCAACTTGGAAAGTTTGACTCAAGGAGTGATGAAGGAATCTTTCTGGGTTATTCAGGCAATAGTTCAGCTTTCAGAGTGTTCAACTTCGGTCCAAGATCATAATGGAATCGGTCAATGTGGTTTTGATGATCGGTCAATCGCAATTATGGGAGACTCCCAATATTTCATGAACCAGAAGTCAGCGAAGCAGAAACAGAAGCAGGATGAAGAGGTTCGTGAAGTACATGAAGAATTCCAATCCAGGTGAGGATGACGAGAAGTTGACACAGTGCCTGATGTAGGTCACCCAGTGACACAAGTTCATAGAAATCACTCATCAAGTGATCTGATTGGCGACATAAATGATGGACGAAAGACAAGAGGAATCAAGGCTGAATACAAGCAGATGGTCAGTATGGCAATAATTCAGTTTGAATGCTTTGTCTCAACCATAGAGCCACGAACCACCTTGAAGCACTGATGATGCAGACTGGATCATCTCCATGGAAGATGAACTTGAGGAGTTTGTGAGAAACGATGTCTGGGAACTGGTGCCTCTACCTGATGGTGTGAATGTGGTCGGTACAAAATGGATATTCAAGAATAAGACAGATGATGTTGGCAGCATTGTGCGAAATAAGTCAAGACTTGTTGCTCAAGGTTACTCACAAGTTGAAGGAGTCGACTTTGATGAAACTTTGCCCCTGTAGCACGTCTGGAGTCTATCAGACTGTTCTTGGGTATGGCATGCATACTGAACTTCAAAGTACATCAGATGGATGTAAGAAGAGTGCTTTCTTGAATAGCATTCTACAAGAGGAAGTATATGTAGCTCAGCCGAAGGGATTTGAAGATCCTACGCATCCTGATATGTGTACAAGCTGAAGAAAGCTCTTACGGACTGAAACAGGCTCCAAGAGCTTGGTATGAGCGATTGACGAAGTTCCTGACTGACACAGGCTACATCAGAGGAACTGTGGACAAGACTTGTTCATACTTGAGAAGGAAGATGATATGATGATGGTGCAGATCTATGTAGGATGATATCATCTTTGGAGGAACTTCAGAGAAGCTGGTGCAAAACTTCGTGAAGAGTATGACAAAGGAGTTTAAGATGAGCATGGTGGGAGAATTGAAGTACTTTCTTGGACTTCAAGTAAATCAGACTGAGGAAGGTATCTTTATCTCTCAAAGTACTTATGCTAAGAATCTGCTGGTGAAGTTTGGTCTTGAAAAGTGCAAGGAGGCAAGAACACCAATGAGCACAACCACTAAGATTGGAAAGGATGAACATGGAGAAGATGTTGATGTGAAGCTATACAGAGGAATGATTGGAAGCTTGCTTTACCTTACAGCAAGTCGGCCTGACTTATGCTTCAGCGTCGGTGTGTGTGCTCGTTATCAGGCCAAACCAAAACAGTCCCATCTTCAAGCAGTGAAGAAGATCTTGAGGTATGTCAAGGGAACTGTCAATCTGGGGATCTTCTACTCTAAAGGATCCAACAGAAATCTTGCTGGATATTGTGACGCCGATTGGGCAGGATGTGCAGATGATCGGAAAAGTACAAGTGGAGGTTGTTTCTTCCTTGGGAACAATCTTAATTGCTTGGCTTAGCAAGAAGCAGAATTCTGTGTCACTATCTACTGCAGAGGCTGAGTACATTGCATTGGGAAGCTGCTGCACACAGCTTATATGGATGAGACAGATGTCAGCCGATTATGGGATGGAGTCTGGACCCTTCTTGGTCTACTGTGACAACAAAAGCGCCATTGACATATCAAAGAATCCGGTGCAGCACTCAAGGACTAAGCACATTGACATAAGACACCACTTTGTTCGTGAATTGGTGGAAGAAAAACAGGTAGTACTTGAACATGTTGTCACAGATTTACAGCTCGCTGATTTATTCACAAAACCATTGGACTTTAACCGTTTTGTCACCTTAAGAAATTCCATTGGAATTTGCACAAGTGGTTTTGAATGATGCAGGGGCTGATACAGGCACTGGCTCGGGGTGTATATAACAAGTTCAGATTTTGTTTGGAGTCAAAGGTGCCAATGAGGATCAGCTACTTTGTCATGCCGTCATGTCACCTCAACATAAGAAAAGTGAAAAGTAAGTGATTCTAAAAGCATGTTCAAGGTCAAAAAGCAGCTGAGCCAACTCCAAATGAATGCAATATGATGGAGATGGCTTGCTGCTTCAAGAACCAAAAAGTGATTCAATGAGCATAACAGGAAATGTGATGAACTGACAACAATAGCTCACAAGGCTAAGTTGGTTCATGTGATTTCTCGAAAGACAATGTTTCACAAGAACAAAGTCTGACGACAGAACTAAGAGCTGAATAGGAAAGGGGATGGACTGACAACAACAGCTCACAAGGCTGAGTTGGTCCATGAGCTTTCTCGAAGGGTAATGTTTCACAAGAACAACATCCAACGACAGAGAATGATCACATGTTCTGCCTTGAACAAAATAAAGAGTTTCACTTTGCACATCATTGGAATTAGAGGTGGTGATATGATCTGGGTATGACAAAGTGAAAGCTGCAGGTTGGAATCAGGATGGCCAAGCACTATGAATCTGTTGAGAATTTGTAATACATCCTGATGCAAGTGCCGACTCAGTCAATGTCTCCTTCACTAAAATGAAAGGTATTTAATTTGAGATAAACTGAGTAAAAATGTTTTTAAGCTGAAAAGATGTGACACATGGGACGGTATTACTTGTTTGGATTCTATCTTGAATCGAATCTTATGTGGTTGTCACAATTTTGGGTCCTTGTGCTGTACTGCTGATATTGGTGCTAAGTGTTGCAGGAAATCAAACAGGATCTGGGTCTCTAAACCAAATTAATCCGGCTGATTTATGTTTTAAGTGGTGACCGCTACTCGTCAAGGGAGAATCTGTCCAAGTCAAGACCGATCAAAGAAGTATCCCGACGGATCCGCCTCCACACCGGTCCAAATCGACGAATCCACCGCTCAACCGTCGATACAAGATCCGCCACCGCCGACTATCACGATGATTGACGGTGCCGCCGACGAAGTAGATGAACCAATGGCGGCAATGGTTCTATTTGAAGGAGAGGTCCAGGCCGAGGCCGAGTCTTTTGCTACGGCGGAAGATGAACCGATGGCGGATGAAGAAGCCACGGCGGAGAAACCTGAGGAGCCGGAGATGCCTCGAGATGCGCAAACGACGATGCCGATTCCAAACTCCGCCGAAACACTAGCTTCACCACCGACTGATGGAGCGACTGACGCGGCGATCACTACACCTCCGGTGGTGATCGCCTCCGGTGGTGATCGCCCAAGACGAGCTCAACGCCGCCGCAACAGAGGTCCAAAACCCAAGAAGAGAGCATCTGTTCACAGGTTTGCAAGCTTTAAGTCTCGCGGAATCATAGATGAGAGGGTTGTTGATCTACGAGCTGAGACACATTGGGGATATCCTGAGATTATAGTTAGAGGAGGTCTCAAGCGTACTGTTGAGGGATTAGGAAGCTATGTTCGCTTTGTCATAGTGGATTTTTATACAGCCTTACCGGAGACTAGAGATGAGAGTGTCAAGATTTTGATCAGGGATCAAGAATATGTGTTCTCTCCGGCGATTATCAATGACTTTCTAGGCTTGGAACCCCTGACTGAGGAGGAGATGAGAAGAGAGGCTGACGCGGATTCCGTCAGCTTGAAGGAGTTGGCTCAACTGTTCACTGATAATGAGTTAGCTGAGTGGTCTGAGATATACACGATCGGAATGACTCCATGCTTTGCTGCTCTAGTCATTGTTGCCTCTCACAACTGGATTCCGTCCACTCACAGGAATCATGTGTCTGAGCAGAGAGCCAAGCTCATCTACAAGCTTTACAAGGGCATTAGAGTTGACTTTGGTCAACTTGTGTTTGATCAAGTGATGAGTATGACCCGATTTCAGGTCAAGGAGTCTCGGTGGCTGGTATTCCCACGTCTCATCTATGGCGTCCTTCAAATGCAGGATCCTCTCTCTCTAATTGATGGAGATTCCTTGGTTCGTCCTCTGCATTATCATAAAGACAAGCGTTCTGGCGAAGATTATATCAAACGCGAGGAAGAGAAGAAGAAGAAGGAAGCCAAGGCGTCTGCCTCTCGAGTTCGATCTACAACAGCGCCTACAGCAGCTCCATCAGAGACTACATCAGAGGCCTACGTCACTGTGGATCTTGGCTCTGTCCGTTTTCCTACTCCTCCACTTCAGTCAGCAGCTGCGATTCAGGCACTAGGCGACGTGGTCTACACTCTCCATACCTTCACTGAAGTGGTCCAAGGTCTTCTCACCAATCTACAAGGTAAGTTGACTCCATGCACTATCTTGTTCCATATGATTTTGATCTTGTGTTTTTAACTTGTGTGGTCTCACAAGCAGAGGGAGAACAGAATGACCCAGGGGAACCAGGGAACGAAAACTAGGACTTATGCTAGAATTGTGGGGGAGCAAGCGTTTGTTTTTGTTTTGCTCTGTTTAGTAGTTTTCGGTTCTAGAATTCTGGGGGAGTTGAGAGTTTTTGCTTTGGTTCTAACTCTTTTGTTTTTGGATGTTTAAACTCATAACTCTCATGTTCTGAATTATTTGAATATTTTGAATGTCTAATGATGAAGTATTCAGAACATCCCTGTTTTCTGGTTATCTCTGGTATGTGCATTGTGGATTTGAGTTTTACAGGTGCTTGTAAGACACAAAGCTAAAAAGGGGGAGATTGAAGATGCAACTGGTTTGACGCAGATCGTGAATCAGTCAAGAAGTGCATCAAGACGTATGGACGGACATGTAGCGGAGCTAAGCGGAGCTTAACGGATTGATGCTGAGCTGGATGCGAGCTTGTAGTGGTTAAGGACGAATCCAGAAGAGGCGGTAGCTGAGCTGGATGAGGAGATTTGGAGTTATCAAGAAAAAGGGATATTTCCTATTCTTAGAGAAAAATAAGGAAAGAAAATATTCCTTTGAAGATTTGGAGTAATCACCAAGACACAACCTTGTAGGGTTTGGCGGTTCGTCTATTGAGGATAAATAGAGGACCTTGGCTGCTTGTAAGCGGCTATCACAAATATTGAGAGCTTTAGACTTTGGGTTTAGATCATCTTGTAAGAGAGCTAGGACAAAGGGTTAGGGCTTGAGAGGTTCGAAGATCGTGGATAGATCTGAGAACAGAGTGTTACTAGAGCAATCAAATCGTGGATAGATTGTGATTGTCAATTCGTTTAAGCAATACTTGTAAGTTACACTTAAAGAATTTCTAGTAATATATTTCTTTGTAGAGAAATCCCTTGTGCCAATTTGTGATCTTCTTCCATATCAATAGCCCCTGGTTTTTCAAACATGTGTGAATCACACAAAAAGCTGTGGTACACACAATGGGTAAATGTTTGATAACGAGCTTTGTTTTTGTTCTCACAAAATGAAAAATTATAAAGGTAAATAAATTAACAATTAAAATCACAAAAACAAAACCCGCGATACGCACAAATATTCATCTAGTATTTTATAATGCATTGATATTCTAAGGTAGTTTTTGTACTCCAGTTCTTTTCATTATCTTTATGGATAGTTAATTAAAATATTAGGTTATGAATAGGACATAAATATATGAAAGCTAAATAATAGATATTTATTGTACGATAGTTTTATTTTGCTCCTTAAATCTTATTTTCGAGATGTGGAATTTAGTTATATCCTCAGGTCCCAATCCCAAAGGTTTGTGCGAGCCAGACGCGGATCTCGTTGTTTACATTATCTCTGCAAATGACAATACCTAAGTTCATAAATTTGTGTTTTAAAAAATGGCAATTAAAGCAAAAAACAAAGTGAAGAAATCAGTGTATAGACCCTCCGCATATTTTGAACAGGGTTTCAAATCCATTCTTGTTAAGAGAAAGAACACTCTTTTGTGCGAATGCAGAGGGAACTACTTTCTCAGCTGTGACTAAAAAAAAAAGGCAAAGAATTAGCATGATCTTGCAATTGTTATAAAACACTAAATTATATTATAAGAGATGGTAATATAACTTATGAGACATACGAGTTTCATATGTAAATAAGATTCGTAGCGATTAAGCACGGTTAAACCTCCCAGAAGCCGTATTCATTTCGTATTCTAAGTTCCTACAAGATCGAGTTTGAGTTTCCATTAATAAAGAGTACATATGTAAATTAAATTTAAAAATAAATGATGACAACTGATATAAAAAGGTTTGAAGAGTCTACGCCAAGTTAGGAAGCCATCCATTTATTCCTATAACAATTTGTAGTTTTATTTTTGGAAGAACACGTTCAAAGGCATAGCTAGTCGCAAAGTAGAGAGCTGCTGCTGCTCCCAAGCCAATACCTCCTACTCCTTTGATTACTACCATAACCGACATTTAATCTTTTAGTCATATATATGATATATATCTTATATATAGTAACAAAATATGCATGCCAAGTTTAGATCATTCCGGCTGGATTACCTTTTCTTGGTTCATTAGAAAAAAAGCTAGCAACATATAAATTTACATTATCTAAATCTTGAAAATCATGTTGCATGCTTTCTGAAACCTTTGTGATGTTGCACCCTGATTCGTCATATATAGAGGATTATAAATACAATATATGTTAGTTTTCAATTCTATTAATATTTTAGAGATCAAATGCTGATTTTTTCCTTTTTTTAAAAAAATTTAAGTTGCCAACTAAGCTTACAGGCATGAGTTTGCTTTCCACCCAAAGAAGTGACAGAACGCATAGGAGCATCTAGACAAATCCATTTTATCTATGCCAAAATTATTTATTTTGATTAGAAAGTTCATTTTAATTTTCCAGTTTGGCTATAAGAAAATTAAATTAGATATGTTAATGGATCCATACATTGTGAAGTCCCAAACTACTCAGATATTCAGCTGCGCTGCAGAAGTAATAGTAAATGTACATACACCATTTAGTGAAACCAACTTAATTAATATCTTATAAGAAAAGACATATACTTCGAAAACTTGGTCACTTGTAAGTGATAAGAAAATAAGTTGTTATTTTTTTATAAAATTAAATAAATATAAGGGAATGTTACAAACTTACCGATTGCCTGTTTGCTCGAGGTCATGCAGCCAGACTATTGTGGCTTTATGAGCTCTTATGGGATTAACAACATAATTCTGTCCAAAATTGCCAGGTATGTCTCTAGTAGCTTTACTTTTCTTTTTCCATGAAAAAGCGTTTCCACTACCTATAAATATAGAATAATCATATCTAACTAGTTAATTCAAAGAAAATAGATATATGTGAAAGAAAATAGACTAGTCAAACAATTTTGCAATTTATTGAAGAAAAATGAATAAGCTACAAGGAAAATAAACTAACTACAAGCCATTCTGTGATGGTTTAATTGTTTTTTGTTTTGGAACCTTTAAGATAAAGAAAATATTTTTACGAATATGCAAGGAAAACATATTGTGTATTTATATACAAATAAGTGTTTACTTTTTAATAATTTTTTTTGTTGACCAACAAAGGAGCCTTGTGAGTGAAGAAAAACTTTTTTTTGGGAAAATCTGAGAGAAAAATCTAGTATAAACATTAGGATGGATACAAAGATAACTATACTACTAATTAAATTGGATGGAACACAATTTATTATGAACAGATCTCCATTAGAAATATTAATTCGAGGCTTAAATTATTTAACACAATTGATAAATTTATTTTTAACTACTAGTTATTATTTTTCTTAAATAAAAGTTATTAATTGTCTTAAAGAAAAGTTATTTAGTACTTATTAGTTATTACTATCCAAACAATAAAACTTAATTGGGTGAAGTCCAATCCGGGAAAAAGTTCATACAAAGGAAAAGAAAACATCATGATGGTTTTTAAACATTTTTCTTAAAATTACTAATTAGTTTTGTCTAAATATTGTCAAACTTTTTTAATGTCAATAAATATTATATCATGTGCATTTTATAATCGAATCATAATTTTATTTAATGTAAATCTCATAGATTTACTACAAGAAAACATACATTTTGCAACGAAATTTTACGTGCAAGTTTTTACACAAAATATTTTAATAAAATAACTCTAACCATGGTCTAAAAGATAAGGTTCAGTTCAATTGGAGGTTTTATATATAAATCTCGAATTTCTAGTGGTTAAAACTTAAAATTGTAATTTTACCCATTTAAATGAAGACAAAGAACAGAACATAGAAATAACTTACTTCAAAGACATCAAGAAGCTTACTTCCGACTTCCGACTTACTTCAAAGACATCAACTTTACGCATGCTCGACTTGATCAACAACTTTGTCCAAGTAGTTTGCCAACAACATATCAATAACACAAACAGAACCAGTCGTATGAATGATAAGTCTTCGTCTTAATCTCTCACTAAGCTATTATAATCCATATATAGCGAAGGAATCTGAAGGTATTGTTCTGTATTCTATGACATGTAATTAGTCTCTCTCGTTTGCCTCGGGTTAATGTTCTTAAGGTTAGCCGGTTTGGGCTTAACCAAGTAATAAGCTCCGGTTATCTCACTTGGGTAAATTTGATGTATGACGGAATATATAAGTCGGCACTTAGGTGATTAGAGCCTTAAAAAAAAGATAAGATCTGAGATTAATCTCTGTAACAGATCAAGGCTTAGAGAGGGAAAGAGAGAACGAGAGGCAACAAGAGAGACGAAGATCCATCGCTCGAGCCTGAGCAAGTTCTAGTGGATTATTGTCGGTAGAAACCGTGCCCCAGGAGAGTAGGAAACGAACTCATGGGTTACCAATCTCGTCTTCTTTACTTTCTGCATTTTATCGCTTTCTTCGATCCAATTCCATTGCGAGAGAGAGCAAGCTTGTTCTTGAGTGATTCGAGTTGCAATCGCACAAATTGGTATCAGAGCCAGGTTGCGACTTGGGGGAATTGATCGAAGCAAGGTCAGAGGCAAGATCGGAGGAGAATGGGGTCTAGACCGGAGATTCCACAGTTCGACGGAAAAGGCGATTTCGCGATCTGGAAGAAGCGGATGTAGGCTAACATCACAGTCCACGGTCTCAAGGATCTCCTAAAGGAGAAGGAGGTAGTGACGATGTCGGAGCAGGAGATTCTCGAAGAAACTCCAGCTGCGAGGAAGAAGCGTCTTAAGGACGAAGAAGCGTGGTTAGAACGAGACGATAAAGCATTGAATCTGATCTTCATGTACGTGAACGATCTCGTGTTGAGGAAGCTTGACAAGTGCACAACAGCAGCGAAGGCATGGGAAACCTTGGATCGTCTTTATCTCGCGAAGACGTTACCTAACCGGGTCCATTCGCAATTGAAGGTATACTCGTTCAAGATGCACGATTCTAAGTCAATAGATCAGAACGTTGATGACTTCACAAGGCTAGTGGCAGATCTTGGAAATTTAAGCATTGAAATTCCGGAAGAGGTTCAGGCGATTCTCTTGTTGAACTCGTTACCCTCAAGGTATGATCAATTAAAGGAAACTCTCAAGTATAGCAGAGAGGGGATCAAGATGGAGGAAGTAGATAGTGCAGCAAGGTCAAAGGAATCTGAGTTTAGAGATATGCCAAGCTCAAGAAGCAATGATGGTGAAGGTCATTACGTAAGAGGCAGGGAAGAAACACGGAGCTTCAAGCCAGGAAAAGGGAAGCAAAATCACAAGTCAAGATCAAAGTCTAGAGATGGCAAGAGGGTTTGCTGGATTTGTGGAAAGGAAGGGCACTTCAAGAAGCAATGTTACAAGTGGTTGGAGAGAAACAAGGGCAAGTCTTTCTCTCAGGATAATGGTGAAGCATCTTTGGCTAGAGACGATGCAAAGGATTTGTTGGGTCTCGTAGCTCAAGAGGTGAATCTTTCCCAAGGAATCAGCAATGGTGATGAATGAATCATGGACACGGGGTGCTCATTCCACATGACACCAAGGAGAGACGTATTCCTCGAAATGAAGGATCTGGACACAGAACGTGTTAATATGGCGAACAATACTCAGGCACAGGTTAAAGGCATAGGTTCAGTGCGTTTTCAGAACCTTGATGGCACAACCTTTGTTCTACATGAAGTGCGCTATATGCCTGAGATTGGAAGAAACCTGATCTCTCTGGGAACTTTGGAAGAGAAGGGTTGTGTCTTCAAAGGTGGAGGTGGAGTGTTGAAGGTTATCAAGGGATGCACTGTGTTTATGAAAGGTTCGAGAAACGGGAAAGACACGCTCTACTTCCTACAAGGGAAAGCCAAATCAAGAGAGGCATGTGTAGTGACGAGTGACAGAGCGAGTTAGAGGCTGGCCAAAGAGGATGACACGAAACTATGGCACAGCAGATTGGGTCATGTAGGGCAAAAGGGCTTATATGTGTTGGTCAAGAAAGGGTGTACCGAGAAGAATCAAGTGTCAAACCTAGAGTTTTGCGAGGACTGTGTTATGGGGAAGACTCACAGATCAAGCTTCGGCCCAGCTCAACACGTCACCAAAGGCAAACTCGACTACATCCATTCAGACTTATGGGGATCTCCTAATGTTCCCATAAGTCTAGGTAACAGTCAATATTTTATCTCCTTTATTGATGATTGGTCTCGGAAAGTTTGGATTTATTTTCTTAAGTCTAAAGATGAAGCTTTTGATAAATTTTCTGAGTGGAAAAGGATGGTGGAATTACAATCCGAAAGGAAAGTAAAGAAACTAAGGACTGATAACGGTTTAGAGTTTTGTAATAACAGGTTTGATGGTCTCTGCAAACAAGCTGGCATTGTCAGGCATAAGACGTGTGCATATACTCCACAACAAAATGGAGCTGCAGAGCGTCTAAATCGATCCATCGTGAACAAGGTTCGAAGCATGCTGAGTGAAAGCGGGCTAGAGCAAAGATTCTGGGCAGAAGCTGCTTCAACAGCAGTATATCTGATCAATAGATCACCGTCGTCGGTCATAGACTTCGAAATTCCAGAAGAGAGATGGACCTCAGCTGCACCAGACCTGTCAAACCTCAGAGTTTCGGTTGTGTTTCATATGTTCACTCAGATGCAGAAAAGCTCAACCCAAGAGCCAAGAAAGGCGTATTCATCGATTACCCTGAATGAGTCAAAGGATACCGAGTTTGGTTACTAGACGAAGAGAAGATCACGATAAGCCGAAACGTGGTCTTTAGAGAAGACATGATGTACAAAGACATCAAGAATTCGACCACACAATCAGGTATTAACTTTACACCTATTTCTACTGATGTGTGTGTGAGAAATGGTCTTGCAGGTGATAACAGGGAACCAGATAGCTCAACTCAAGGTGGAGCTGATCAGAGAGAAGGAGGTCCCTCTGAACCAACTCAGGTTGAACAAGGTAGCAGTTCTGGGAACTCAGAAGCAAATGCCAAAGCGCTTGAGGACTATCAACTAGCCAGAGATCGGTCACGAAGACCAACTCGTAAAACCACTCAGGCTCGAGGACTATCAGATTGAGGATGATGAAGAAGACATCGCGGGCTACGCGTATGTGGTAATTGAAGACGGTGGAAAACCAGAGCCAGGAAACTTTCAAGAGGCCTTGAGAGATCCAGACAGCGAGAAGTGAATATCAGCGTCAGACGATGAGATGGAGTCCCTATTCAAGAACAAGACCTGGAAGCTAGTGGACAGAGTTGCGACTCAGAGACCTATCGGTTGCAGATGGATCTTCACAAGGAAAGCGGGTATCGTGGGAGTGGAGAATCCGAGATTCAAAGCAAGATTGGTGGCCAAAGGATACTCTCAGAAAGAAGGAATTGACTATCAAGAGATCTTCTCACCGGTTGTGAAGCATGTGTCAGTCCGTTTCCTTCTTTCAATGGTGGTTCATTTCAACATGGAGCTTCAACAGATGGACGTGAAGACGGCGTTTCTCCATGGTTACTTGGATGAGACGATCTATATGGAGCAACCAGAGGGTTATGAGGATGAGAGATATCCAGACAAGGTCTGCCTACTTCAAAGATCATTATACGGGCTTAAACAGTCACCTCGTCAATGGAACACGAGGTTTGACAGTTTTATGCAGTCTCATAAGTATGTGAGGAGTGAGTATGACAGCTGTGTATACTTCAAGGAACTACGGAGGAATGAGTATGTTTATCTTCTCCTCTATGTCGATGACATACTCATTGCCTCAGAAGATAAGAAGTATGTGGAGGAGCTCAAGGCTCTACTTAGTTCGGAGTTTGAATGAAGGACCTAGGAGAGGCTAAGAAGATTTGGGAATGGAAATCACCAGAGATAGAGTGAAAGGTACTTTAACGATTTCTCAAGAAGGATACGTGAAGAAGGTACTAGGAAACTTCGGAATGGATCAGTCCAAACCTGTAGCTACTGCAATGGGAGCTCACTTCACGTTCACAGCGGCAACAGAAGAAGAGCTACAAGATCAACAGGAAGACATGGAGAAAATTCCTTATCAGAGTGCTGTTGGGAGTTTAATGTACGCCATGATTGGTACACGTCCTGACTTGGCATACTCTGTGGGTTTGGTATGCAGGTTCATGACTAACCCGATTAAGGAACATTGGTTGGGAGTCAAGTGGATTATGCGATACATGAATGGTACCTCAGATATGAAGATTAGTTACAGGAACGAAGGAGATTTTGTGCTCAAGGGTTATTGTGACTCAGACTACGCAGCAGACATGGACAAAAGGAGGTCCATTTCTGGAATAGTTTTTACACTTGGAGGAAACAGGATAAGCTGGAAATCAAGTCTACAAAAGACTGTGGCCTTATCGACGACTGAAGCAGAGTATGTTGCTTTGGCGGATGCAGCAAAGGAGGCCGTTTGGTTAAAAGGTCTGATGAACGAGTTAGGTTTCAAGCAAGAAGCTGTAGACATCTATTGTGATTCTCAGAGCGCGATTGCATTGGTAAAGAATGCAGTTCATCATGAGAGGACGAAGCACATCGATGTCAAGCTTCACTTTCTCAGAGATTTGATCAGTATGGCAAAGATACGAGTGCTGAAGATTGCTACAGATACAATCCAGCTGATATTTTCACAAAGGTTCTTCCAGTGGGCAAGTTTCAAGATGCTTTGGAGCTGCTCAGAATTTCAAAGAAGTGATTCAGCTCATTAAGTTATTGGAGCCGTGAGTTATTTCCAGGAGGTTTCAAGCTGAGAAGGTAGATTCTCAGGAAGGTGGAGTTAAAAGTTATTGAGAACAAGTTTATGTTCCAAGAAGATGAGGAGTGATTTGAAAGCTCATCACCACTAGAACTGATCATATAATGCAGAACAAGGTGGAGATTTGAAGGTATTGTTCTGTATTCTATGACATGTAATTAGTCTCTCTCGTTTGCCTCGGGTTAATGTTCTTAAGGTTAGCCGGTTTGGGCTTAACCAAGTAATAAGCTCCGGTTATCTCACTTGGGTAGATTTGATGTATGACGGAATATATAAGTCGGCACTTAGGTGATTAGAGCCTTAAAAAAAAGATAAGATCTGAGATTAATCTCTGTAACAGATCAAGGCTTAGAGAGGGAAAGAGAGAACGAGAGGCAACGAGAGAGACGAAGATCCATCGCTCGAGCTTGAGCAAGTTCTAGTGGATTATTGCCGGTAGAAACCGTGCCCCAGGAGAGTAGGAAACAAACTCCTGGATTACCAATCTCGTCTTCTTTACTTTCTGCATTTTATCGCTTTCTTCGATCCAATTCCATTGCGAAAGAGAGCGAGTTTGTTCTTGAGTGATTCGAGTTGCAATCGCACAGAATCAAACTATCAAGTCCAAAATCAATTCATCTAAAGCAAAACCCAAAACAGATTTAGAGATCTACATATCAAAACAAAAGTCCAAATAGCTACAGGGAGATTAGTATTTGACATTAATTATTTTCCAAGTTTTTTTGTATATTTTTGCATTGTTAAAATGTTAATTTTTTTCTTTTCTTGGGAATTTTGCATAGGAAAACTCTTTTAGATTTCAATTTAGATAGATAATAAAAAAAACTAATGAAACCAGTACAAAGTTATAAAATAAGGGCAGTAAAAAATAATGTAACTGGCCGATTTAACAATTAACGATATCGACAACAAAACAAGACTAACCATGTGTCAAATGTTGTTGATTTTTTTTTTTTTTTTTGGTGGGTAATGTTGCTGAAGTATTGAAACGTTTAAGTAATTCGTTTATAACTTTTCAGAATAAAAAATTTTACGTATCATTTTTCAGTTTTATACTTTTATATAATTTTCTTTTGCCCAGCCAAGTAGTTTTCAACTTATTCAACTTATATATCACATCTTTCTGATCATCACATTTGTTTATTTACTCATCTGGATATAATTAAATGACTTAATTTGTGTATGATTGAAATCATCAATAATTCATGTTAGTTAGCATTGGGAAAATTAATATATTTTATAAACAATTCGAACAAATGCAAATTAGGCGTATGACTTACGTGAATATATGTTCGAATTAAAAAAATATAATTACTTTAGTAGGCCTGGGCATTTTAGGGTGAGTTGGTTTAATATTACTAAAAAATTTCATAATTTGAAAACTAACCTTGATTTTTAAAATTTTGAAAACTAACTTTTTTAATAAGTGAAAAGACAATAAAACCATTATCATTTCCTATTAATAATGAGAAAAAAATTCTTATTTAATTTAGATATATATTTAATTTAGATATATATAAGATATTTTCGAAAATTTGTTTATATATTTTTTAATAAATATTTAAAAATACACATGTTATTTTGAAAATATATTCATATTTATCATAAAAATGAATCAAACTCTATAAATATATACACATAAATATCATTTTAGAACAAAGAAAAACTCACATTCATTCTTAAAATGATGGAATGTGTTAAAGTTAACTCATGTTCTATATTTATGACATGTTAAATTTCAAATAAAATTTTCTAAATATCTTTTTGTTTTCTTGTTATAAATTTTATAGATTTTATGAGAATATCCCACACTAAAGTTTTTTTTATTATATAAAATAAAAATAATTGTTTATAATTATCTTTAGAATAACAGAATTTTTTTTTACAATTTAAATAATTTTTAAATAAGATAAACGAATTTTGAGGGTATTTTAGTAATTTTAATATTAGAAAGATTAGTTTACCAACATTTTAAAAAGTGGGTTAGTTTTCAAAATATGATTAATTTATGTAATATTGGTCCAAATTTCCTGAATCGGACCGAAGATCCGAATCGGAACCGATCGGACATAAATGGATTCAAACTGAACCTGAATAGATATAAATATCTGAACGGATCCTAAACTCTTATACCCTAAAGAATCGGAACTGAACCGAGAACCAAATGGGTGCCCGAATATCCAAAATATAATTATATTCCTAAAAATGTTTAGTTATGTTTTTATCTTAAAATAACTAATATCTTTAAAAATTATAATTATTAACCAAATATATCAGTTATATACTTATATTTAGCACAAAATAACCAAAATCTAATATATCAGAAAATATTTAGTTATATTTTGTAATATTTAATATGTTTTATAAAATTTAACTCAATTTTAATTAAATTAATTGTTTTTCTTCTTTTATAGCTAAAGTTTGGGTACCAAAATCGACCGAGATCCGAGAGGAACCGATCTGAACCCGAACCGATTATAACACGATTTATATTTGGATAAATAATTTAAATAACCGTTATACCCAAAACTGAAAGAACCGACTTGGTCATTTTGTAATATTTAAATAACCGTTATACCCAAAACTGAAAGAACACCGACCTAATCGTTTTGTAATATTTAAATAACCGTTATTCCTATTTGGAAAAGTAGGTTTCATTCAAGTAAAGCAACGGTCGGAAAATCATAATCAAACAAATTAATACTTTTATGTACTTTTGTATTGTTGTTATGAACGATAATCACGTGGTCAGGTCGTGATTAAGGTCCTCAATATGTCAAACTTTGCCTGCCATGTTGCAGACCAATGTTACCAATTTCACACCGACTGGTCTGCGACATATTTAAATCATAGAATGATACTTTATAATTAATTTGATTCGAAATATTATAGAGAACTGACTTCAAGTTGTAATTAGTTGATTGACATATGCTAATATGGCTAACTATCTTGACAGATAATTACAGTTAGAGTCCATTGAGCTTCTCAGTTGGCTTCAAGATCCTGAAAATATCATATATGATGTGTTTTTTGGAGTGCCCACAGTTCAAACACAAACACAAACCTGATTTTGATTTTTTTTTTTTTAAACAAGATTAACATTTAAGCAAAAATGGTCTTGATTAAAACCTTCGATCAAATTTACAATTAAATTTAAAATATATCAATTTTGGACTCTGAATTAGTTTGCTAAAAAAAAAAGAAAAAAAAAGGAATCTGAATGACTGAATTTGTTCTGTTCAAACTTGGTTTATTTTGTTTCTTATATATATATAAAAGTGGATCTCACCAAGGTTTTTTTTTCACCAAACTAAAGTATTTGAAACCCGTGAATCATTTTACAAAAAATATGCTAACGAAAACAACTGGAAAAAAATGAAAAAGCAAAAAAAGAAATAAAAGAAATCAAAAGCATACGCAAAATGAAAAAAAAAAAAAAATGGTTGACCACACGTCTCCAGAAACAGCACATTACGATCAGTCGAAGAAACAGTATTTCCCATATTCTGCATCAATTTTCAATCCTCGCCCAAAAGTTATGGTCTTTTTTCTTTGTAGGGAAAATATTAAAATAATAAATGTATTCGAGTTATCTACATACAGTAGAAACTCTATAAATTAATACTCGATAAATTAATAACTCGGTAAATCAATAAAATTGTATGATTCCAAATTAAGTTTTTGATCCAATAATCTCTCGATAAATTAATATTTCGTTAAATTAATAAAATATCTTATGCCCGACATTATTAATTTATTGAGTTTCTACTGTATATAAAGTTCATGTTCCTCTCTTCTCATAGCTTCTAAATTCTCCATTTTACCACATCAGCACTTTCTTTAATTTATTATATTTTTTCTTTTTAATATTTTAATTTCATAATAATTAGCATTCAATACTATAATAAGTTTAACAATTAATATGAAAAGTCACCTTAAACAAATGAAAGGACTATATATAAATCTAGAAAAATTATTATTTGTAAATTTATTTTTGTTATATTATATAATTTACATTGATGTCAAGATGTTATAAAAAGAACACTGATTTTTAAGGGACATGATGAGACAGAACAAGACGGAAAGAAACACAATGAAACGGGATAAGACTGGAGGACGAGACAGACAAATTAGACATGACGACATGAAAAAAAAAATAAGACAGGACTGGACAGGACGGAGTGAAAAGGACATAATGGGACGAGAAGGGACAAGACATAAATTTCACCTACCCCTAATAATATTTAGGGACAGTACAGAGATACGATCAAACAAAAAAAAAACATAACGAGATAGGATGAGACTGATAGGGCGGACAGGACGGAACAGGACGGGGAAAGAACAGGACAAGATGAGAATGAATGAAATGGGATGGGATGAGACTATACATGAATTTTGCCTATCTTTAGTTATATTTAGGAAATGGGGTGAGAAGAAATGGAAGGAACATGATAGGACATAAAAAATAGAAAGGAACATAATGGGATAGGACGAGACGAGACGGGACATACAGTATAGATGGGACGAGAAAAAACAGACATGATGAAAATGAACGAAATGGGATACGATGGAACAAGACAGTACGTTAGTTTTGCCTAATCCCAATTATTTAAAATTTTTGAAACAATAATAAACCATAGAAAAAAATTTAAATTTGCGGAAAAACAATAATATAAATTCCCGTATGAAGCGCGGATCACCTCCTAGTTTTTTATAAAAACTAACCGAATCAAATAACGGAGAATTAGTATAAGTATATCTTAAAATATTTTGATTCAGACGTATATTCAGAATATTCTAATTGAGGTGCCATTTTGACTTTTTGACTATTAAATGTGGACGGATCTTTGAACTTTCCTGATGTGAAGGATATTTGAAAAACCGAAAATTTTGAATTTATTGGCCAACAACCTAAAAATGTGATTTTATTTCTTTTATTCATACACCCTTAAATATTTTTTCCACTAACCTGATGTATATATATTGTTTCCATTCACCCCAGTAATATAAATTTCTTGAACATATATATATATATATATATATTAGTATTATCGTGTGTGCTTACGTAATTATTTGAAAAGTGAAACAAATAAAAAAAAACAGAAGAGAAGTTATACAGAAGGAAGTAACTGGGCATTAGGGTTTAGGTACGGTATAACTGAAATTCACGAAGGATCCTATTAACTGCCAAAACCGACTCGTCTCGCACGCGCTTGCGATTCACACGTGCGACTTCCATCTTATAAGCCGCTGCCTATTTTCGCAAATCTCCTCCAGAGGAAACCAAAAAACAAATAAAATAAAAAAGAGTAATTAATCTCAACCATCCGATCATCCATCAACGTTCACCAATCCCTACACAGATCATCGCCTTCTCTCTCTCTTTTGCTGTCTCTCGCTCCTCTCTCTCTCTCTGGATCTCTCCGGCGAGCCGTTCTCTTGGGTGGTGAGTGTTTGCTTATGAATATTATTGATTTTTTTATTTCTGTCGAATTTCGTGGTTTAATTTGATATCTGCGCTGCGGAATTCTCGATGTGCCTGCATTATCCTGCTTAATTTTGTATTCTTCTGGTGTCGAATTTTGTTTTTCCGGTATTACTACTACTTTTTTTTGTTTTCGTTTTCATTTCTGTATATTCTCCGTTCTGGATTCGAAGAACTCTGTAGTGAATTCCGTATCGATGCCTACTTTGATATTGTTTAGGTTTAGACTTGTTTACCCAGAAATTTGACTTGAGGTGCGGATAGAAAAAAAAAATACAGAATTTGTTGAGATTCTAGACTCTTTGATGCTCTTCTTCTCTGATTCAGATTCTCTATTCTGTTTCCATGGAAAAATTGTGGAGATTCTGAAAAAGATGTTTCTTTGTGATCATCGGCAGTAAACAGTAGCAATCTACCAAGGTTTGGCATCTCAAGAAATCGCTGAATCAGCCGTTGGATTAGAGGCTCGGCGGTTTCATCTGTAAATGGGCTGCTTCCACTCAAAGGTAGCAAGAGAATTTCGAGGACACGAAGACCCTGTCAGGCTCTCCTCCGAGACTGCCTGTAAGTTGCTTTCAAAATATGGTTTAAATGGCTCCGAGTTGATTCCTTTGTTGCATGTTCATTTGTTTCACCTGATATGAGAAATCATCAGCTAGATTATGTTTGATTCTTCTTCTCTACTCATTTCATTCGGGTTGGGTTTTGTTAACCATCACAATCGTTAAAAATGGTGTCTGACTCATTGCTTTATGTTATCTTCATTTGTACTTTATGTTTGATCTTGCAGTGTCGCTTGTTTTTCTTTGTTTTTTTCCAGTTAGTGTGAGTGAGGTTGAAGCATTGTTTGAGCTATTCAAGAGCATAAGCAGCTCGGTTGTTGATGATGGTTTGATAAACAAGGTACAAAGATTTGACAAATTCTGTTTTTCTTCTGGCCCCATTTGGATCTTTTCATGACCCCATTTGTAGTTAACTTTTTCCCTCTTTACGCTATTCATCTACAGTCTTTTTCCAAATTGGTTGACTTTCTCTCAATTTATTAGAGCAATAATGTTTCTTTTGTCTGTTCCATTTTGCACCAATTCAAAGTATCCTCGTCGTAGCCCTTAATGTTTGACTCAAATTTTAGTTTATTTTGTTGATTGCTTTTTTGGTTTTGAAATTTGAGGCTCTCATGGCCCACTTAATTCATTATCACTTCACTTTGTATTCAGGAGGAGTTTCAACTTGCATTGTTCAAAAACCGGAAGAGGGAGAATATATTTGCTAATAGGGTAAGAAAGTCTATAGTTCCTCTGGCTTTAACAAATTTGTTCTTGCTTGAATAGTGATCTGAATCAAGAGCTCGAAAAGATATTATGATCATGAAACTAAAAACTCATATATGCTTCCTTGCAGATATTTGATATGTTTGATGTTAAACGAAAAGGAGTCATCGATTTTGGGGATTTTGTTAGATCACTCAACGTTTTCCACCCCAATGCTTCTCTAGAAGACAAAATAGATTGTAAGTTGACAAAAAAAACAGTCTCATACATAACTGTTTATCGAAGCCTTTCTGTGAAAGAGTATTATTGATTCTGGTCTACTATTTTTCTCAGTTACATTTAGGCTTTACGACATGGACTGTACGGGTTTCATTGAACGTCAAGAGGTAAAAATTGTTGTTTAGAGATTTTAAAACTTGCAAGCTTTGATACTTGAAAATGAAAGATCTTTGGCTAGTTACAGATATGTTATTGGTTCTGCATCTCTTACTTAGCATCCCTGCAGGAACTCATGGTTATGTGATGTATTTTGGCAGGTTAAACAAATGTTGATCGCCCTTCTCTGTGAATCTGAAATGAAATTGGCTGATGAAACCATAGAGATAATACTAGATAAGGTTTGTTTTGGTTGTCTTTCTAAGATTCATACATTTTAGGGGTAATGTTTTAAATGTCTCGTCTTTAATTGTTTCTTTTTTCCTTTTCATTTCATGAACAGACATTTGAGGATGCAGACGTGAATCAGGATGGAAAAATTGATAAATTAGAGTGGAGCGATTTCGTAAACAAAAACCCATCATTGCTTAAGATCATGACTCTCCCATATCTCAGGTATTTATGAGATTCAAAACTTAAAAATATGAGAAATGAAATAATGTCAGATAAATTTGTCCTTAACGTACACATAAAATATATGCAGGGATATAACGACAACATTTCCGAGTTTTGTCTTCAATTCGGAGGTCGAAGAGATTGCCACGTAAAGAAACAAAAAGCTGTAACCACAAGAACTTGAGCAAAGAGCAAGAGCAAGAGCAGTTCTGAAGTTGATCGGTGTAATCGGCATCTGTTTGCAAACACAGTAGAGCATTTTTTTTTTTTTTTTTTTGTGTTTATGAAAATTCTCTTGCCAGGAATTTTTCATTTTCTGGGTTCCTATTTTTCTTCTCAGTAACAATTTTGAAATATTGGGGTTTAGCTCCTAAATAACAAAAATAAGCGTAGTCACCAAATCCTGTATTTTTTCCACATGTATACAGTATACTTAGGAAATGTTAATGAGTTTGTAGTTTGTACATATCACAATGATGATACGTTTGTTCTTTGAAAGTAAGATTAAAATATTTTTGGTATGTTATATTTATTGTTAATTTGTTACCATATCACAATTTGTTTTTACAAACAAAAATTTTTCTTTGTGTTTTCATTTTATTTTTGTGTTCTGATTCATTATTTTCATATATTTAAGATTTTGTTGTGTACTATCTTGGATGTCATATTTCTTAGCTTCCTATCTTTGCTAGTTGCTCTTGTAGGAGCTCTCCATTGCTGTTGTTCTTGTAACTTTCTGTGAGGAAATAGGAAATAGGTATATGGACTTATTATGGAGAAAAACAAGCAGCTAATCTACCTTTTTCCACATTCTCAGTCAACGTTCTGTGTTTAATTTATACAAAGCTCTTACTCCACACAACTCCCTTTAAGGCTCTGTTATAAGACTGATCCTCCACACAACTCCCTTTAAGGCTCTGTTATAAGACTGATCCTCTTTACATCATACATACAGGCTAGTGGATTCTTCTTTTTTCCTTACCACTGTTGCTGCTGCTGTCATAGGATGCTTGCTTCACCCTATTCAGAAAACTCAGATTACATCAGGATAACGAAGAAAAGGTTTATTCTTCTTCATCAACATCAGCACCTTCATCTTCCTTGTCTCCTTCAACAGCTCCTCCACCTTCTGCAACTCGCATCTGGACACATGATGTCTTCCTAGCTTTCGCGGGGAAGATGTCCGCAGAGGCTTTCTCAGTCATATTCAGATGGAGTTTCAGAGAAAAGAAATCAGTCCTTCCATCGGTCCCGAGCTCGTTCGAGCTATTAGAGGTTCTAAGATTGCAATTATCTTGATCTCAAAAAAACTATGCTTCCTCAAAATGGTGTCTTGACGAGCTGGTCGAGATTATGAAGTCCAGGGAAGAGTTGGGTCAAACTGTGATGGCCATTTTCTATAAAGTGGATCCATCTGATGTCAAAAAGCTGACTGGAGATTTTGGGAAATTCTTCAAAAAAAATAAACTTGTGCCCGTAAAACACAGAAAGACACTGTAAGATGGAGACAAGCTTTGGCAAAAGTGGCTACAGTCGCTGGTTATCATTCAAGCAACTGGTTAGTTCTTTTGATCCCCAATTGCTCTTAAACTACGTATAGTATGTAGCTTTTAAACAATATGCATTCAAGAAATTCATACATTTTCTTTTTATTACTATTTGGGTGATTTTCTGTGAATATCATACTATTATTTGCGAAGTCAGAATTTCAAATGGAGTCCACCACGTTAACTCTCAGCTGCGGAATTATATCTTCACTTTATAATTAATTAACTTTATAAACTATACTATTTTTTTTTTTCAAAGACAAGAACAAAAATATTTTTTGCTTAACCAAACGAAAGAAACTCATGGCGACGGCGGAGGCGATCTTCTCTAGGGCTTCCGAATGATTTTCAGACGAGATCCGGGGGAATCAACGGTACTAAGAAGGATTGTCCGATTTGGAGAGAGGAGATCTCATCAAATCTCCCTCTCCCATGGCATTTATGTCACGAGGAGTCATTTGGAGGAAGCGGGGAAATATCAAGGGGATTTCCGATCTGTTCTGGGGATATGGGGATATCACAGATCTGTATTTGAAATGGGATTCAGTGGTCTGTTTCTAGAGGATTTGGGTCACATCGGAGGCTTTAATTTGGATCAAATCGGGGTTGTACGAATATGGGAGGAAAAGACGGAATCAGCTGAATACGGACCCGTCGGATGGGTCAGGGGCAGGGGATGGTTTGGTCAACTGATGGGTTTACAAAGAGTTTGGATGGGTCTTTGCAACAGGTTTTCAATAAGGTGGTCAGGGGAAGGGCGGAGGAATCCCAGATTACAACTTGTCTTTTCTGTCATGTTTTCGCAGTGTTGTTTTTCATTGAAGTTTCTTCTTTTCCGTTTAAGTTATAATAAGGTTTCTATGGAGAATCCGTGTGGTACTTGTGGTGATTCTCTGTTTCTTGGTAATAAAACTATGGTTATGTTTTGGCTTCATGTGACTACTCATTCGTTAGATATACGCCCGGCTTTTCAGGTCGATGTTGTAGAGGAATGTATTTTGGACAAGCAGTGGGGATTTGAATATCGAATAGGTTTTTATATAGCCAACCAGAGTTATGTTTGGCTATTGGGTATTGATTGTGAAGGTGGTTTTCACTGTGTGTTTCTCTTAAAAGTCGTGATTGAGAACGCATGGATTCTATTGTGGCTTTGGTTTAAGAGTTTGCAAAGCAACGAGGGTTTTTACAACAGAGGTACTAAAATAATGTATCAAATTTGGAAAAAAATGTGGGTTTGGGGCGGTTACGACGAATGTGTTCTCATTGGACAAAACTACAATTGTGTAATCTCCATAGGCATGTCCGGGGGAAACATCGTGCTCGCAAACGCTTGTCCCGTTTTTCACTCCTCAGGAAAATTGTTGGTCCCCTGTTCTTTTTGGTTATTGTTACAGAGGCTATATATTGGTTCGAAGTTAGACGTTGGTTTTTGGCTATGGGACATGTTATGTTTGGTCAACATCCGGCTAATGTCGTTCTTTACCAGTGTTGTTTGTCTTTGAATAACGCTCTCTCGAGGTTTGGTCACAAAAGAGGTGATATCGATGATCGCTCTGATGGCACTTCTGGTGATCTTTGGTTATTCCTTAATAAAACTTATATTGTGTTTCTCCCTTCATGGTTTGCATTTTATCTCGATATACACGGAGATGTACGTCTTGGTAATCACCTAAAAGAAACCACAAATATTTTATTATGGAGTCAAATGGCAAGTACAGATCGAAAGGTGGTTTCTCAAATGGTGGTCCGACGGGATTATTATAACTCATTATAGCATACTTCGAAAAGATATTATGACTATAAGTGGAATGACGAAAACATCAAGGAAAAAATCTAAACAAGATCTTATCTTGGTGAAACAGAGCTTGTTTATTTGGGATGTGAATCAGGGGAATCATGGTATTAGATTGAGGGATAAAGCGAAATGTATCTTCATTGATTGTGGTGTCTTGGTGTTTCGGGTGCGGGACATCAGAATTTTATCTGACAATGTAATAGGGTGGCGAGGGTACAAGACCAAAAGGATGAGGATATGGGGAACTGGGACGGACAAGGGCACCGATCACGGCCGGAAAGAAAAAGTTTGTTACAATGAGAGTACTGAGTTGGAACTGTCAGGGCTTGGGTAACCCATACACGATAAGTCACCTTCGGGAACTATGGGGAAAGTTTAAACCGGAGTTTATGTTTCTCTCCGAGACAAAACAGGATTTTGCTTTTGTGCAACAGTTTCAATTTCATTTTGGGTATGACAGGGTACATATGGTCGAACCTCGTGGAGCTAGCGGTGGGTTGGCTTTGTTCTATAATAACATTTATGATGTCACTATTATCTCCTCAAATAAACGAATAATTGATATTGAAGCCCGCCATGAAGGCCAAGTAATATTTATGTCCTTCGTTTATGGTGATCCAGTGGTTAAATTGCGGGATCTTGTTTGGGAGCGAATTACAAGGATCAGAACAACAAGGACGGAACCATGGTTTCTTATATGCGATTTTAATGAGATTACAGAAAACGAGGAGAAACAGGGCGGGCCTTTACACCAAGCTTCCTCGTTTCTCTCGTTTAACTTGATGATAAGTGATTGTGGTCTTGTGGATTTCCCGAGTCGTGGAAATACTCTATCATGGAGAGGCAGGAGGCGGGGAAAAATAGTCAGGTGCAGACTAGACAGAGCACTAGCTACGGAAGGATGGCATGATCTGTTTCCGGTGTCTTATGTGGAATACCTACAGATGATTGGCTCTGATCATAGGCCAATATTGGCTACACTGGACTCCAAAATAACAAGACGATGAAAACAATTTCGGTTTGACAAACGGTGGGTCGGTTTGGAGGGCCTTCTGGAGTCGGTTGAGCGGGGATGGAATACGGTTCGGGGTGATGGAGTACCGGAGCTGGTGGACAGGATCCATAATTGCCGTCATGAAATTTCTGTTTGGAGGAAGGAAAATCAACCCTATGAAAAACAGAAAATAGCAGAATTACAAAGGGCGCTGGAGGAGGTACAAAACGATGACAATAGTACCCAGGAGGAACTTATTGACATCACAAACAAGCTAAAGGAGGCATATAGAGATGAAGAGGAATATTGAAAACAGAAAAGCCGTAATCTATGGTTAAAGGACGGGGATCTTAATACAAAATTTTTTCATGCCTCCACAAAACAGCGAAGAGCTGTTAACAGAATTGTTGGCCTCCATACAGACGCTAATGTCTGGGTAGCTGGGGAAAAGGAGGTGGAGAAGGTTGCGGTGAACTACTTCGATACACTGTTTACGTCGACTCTTCCGACGGATTTTACGGGGGTTTTAGAGCATATCACAGAGCGGGTTACATCATAAGAAAACGAAATGCTGACTCGGCAGGCGACGGAAACGGAGGTGCGCGAGGCTCTTTTCATGATGCACCCCGAAAAAGCACCGGGCCCGGATGGCATGACTGCGTTGTTCTTTCAACGTTCATGGCACATTATTAAAGCAGACATTCTTAAGATGGTTAATAACTTTCTCACATCGGGTACTTTTGATGAAAGATTGAATCTGACACACATCTGTCTGATTCCGAAGACGGGAAGACCGAGCAGGATGACAGAGCTACGGCCAATCAGTCTCTGTAATGTGGGTTACAAAATCATTTCAAAAGTCCTATGCCAGCGGCTTAAAATGGTTTTACCAAAGTTGATTTCAGAGACTCAGTCTGCTTTTGTACCTGGTCGTCTAATCTCTGATAATATACTAATTGCCCAGGAGATGTTTCACGGACTTCGGACGAACAATTCCTGCAAAGGAAAGTTTATGGCCGTTAAGACGGACATGAGTAAGGCTTATGATCGGGTGGAATGGAACTTTATAGAGTCTTTAATGCGGAAAATGGGGTTTGCTGACAAGTGGATCCTTCTGATGATGCAATGCATCACTTCGGTTAAATACATAGTGCTACTTAATGGACAACCTAAAGGAAAAATAATCCCTCACAAAGGTTTACGACAAGGGGATCCGTTATCCCCGTATCTCTTTATTTTATGTACGGAAGTGTTGATTGCAAATATGAAAAAGGCAGAAGAACAGAAAAAACTGACCGGTCTTAAAGTTGCACGGGCGAGCCCAGCGGTCTCTCACCTCTTTTTGCCGATGACAGTCTCTTTTTCTGCAGAGCGACGGGGGAGGAAAGTAGGGTATTACTCCAAATCCTAAAGGAGTATGAAATTACCTCGGGCCAACAAATTAATTTTGCCAAATCTTCAATACAGTTTGGACATAAGGTTGATGCAGGGGTGAGAGCGGAATTACATCAGATTTTGGGAATTAGTAATGTGGGAGGCGTGGGGAGTTATCTCGGTATCCCGGAGAGTCTCGGAGGTGCCAAGACGAAGATATTCAGCTTTCTGATAGATAGACAGCACCAACGAATTAATGGTTGGACTCCAAATGGTTATCGAAAGGGGGAAAAGAGGTCCTAATTAAGTCTGTGGCCTCAGGCAATGCCCATGTATGTGATGTCATGCTTTCGTCTGCCTAAAGGGATTACAAATAAACTCTCTAGCGCAGTCTCAAATTTCTGGTGGAGTAATAATGGACAGACACGGGGAATGCATTGGCTAGCATGGAAAAAACTTTGTCGGCACAAAAACGATGGCGGCCTGGGATTCCGTGTTATTGAGGATTTTAACACGGCTTTACTTGCAAAACAGTTGTGGAGGCTCATTAACTTCCCCGACTCGTTATTCGCACGGGTTTTCAAAGGACGTTATTATCGGAACGCAACTCCTATGGACCCTATTCGATCTTACTCTCCCTCCTATGGATGGCGGAGTATAGTTTCAGCTCGACCTCTGGTTAAAATAGGACTTATCAAAAGGGTTGGTTCAGGAACATCTATCTCTGTTTGGGATGATCCTGGATTCCAGCTTCTACCCCGAGGCCAGCCACAGGAGATGGGATTAATTACTACCCTCACCTCCGGGTGAGTGAGTTGATTAACCCAGTACAACAACGTGGAATTTACCACTATTGAATCAATTGTTTGACAGTATGGATGTCTCTCTAATTCTCGGGATCCCAACCTCAAATGTCGCCGACCAGACTCCATGGGATGGTTTTTTACGAAGACGGGGAGATACACGGTAAAATCGGGTTACACGGTCCTACAACAAAGTTTGGACGCTGATAGGCCCATCTTTATTGGTCCGGACACACGGCGTCTTCAAGCACAGGTTTGGAAGGTACAATGTACTCAGAAATTACAACATTTTATTTGGCAAGCTTTGACGGGATGCATAGCGGTAGGGGTGAGACTCCAGAGTCGCGGTATGCAGATAGACCCACAATGTATGCGGTGTGGGATGGCGGCAGAAACAGTGAACCACACACTGTTTGAATGCCCACCGGCACTGCAAGTTTGGGCTCTATCTCCAATTCCAACGGCTCCACAGCGTTTCCCTACAGGAAGTTTGTTTGCAAATATGGCATATCTTTTTTGGAATTTGCCAGACGATGATAGAATGCGGATGTATCCTTGGTTAATTTGGTATATCTGGAAATCACGAAATGATAAGGTTATGGCGAATGTGGACTGGGACCCAAATGAAATAATAATCAAAGCAACAGCGGAATCTTCGGCATGGGTAACCGCCCAGGAAAAACATGTAATGCTATGTCCACTACTGACAACCTCAGGGAATCCCCTAGAACGGGTGATATTTGTCAAGTAGATGGGGCTTGGAAGGAGACAGAAAGTCGAGCTGGGCTAGGATGGTTTTACTTGAACATGAATACTCAGGAAAAGCTTATGGGAACTCGTAACTTGAGAAGGGGAATATCGCCCCTCCAAACGGAGTTGGAGGCACTTATTTGGGCCATGCATTGTATGCTACGGCATAATAAATTGTTAACGCGTTTTGAGACGGATTGCTCTGATGTGGTGAAGATGGTGTCTACGCCAGAGGAGTGGCCAGCGTTCGCAATACTTCTTGACGAGGTTGACCGGTGTAAAAGGAGGTTTACCTCCTTCTCCATCGCGCACATACCTAGGACAAAAACACGAAGGCAGACAAGTTAGCACGGAGTGCTCGAGCTCTACCTACTGATGTGTATTATGTAAACTCTGTTTCGCCAACTTGGATTCCCGAGCTGGTTTAGAAATAGAGGCTGTCGACAAAAAAAAAAAAAAAAAAAAAAAAAAAAAAAAAACTATATAAACTATACTTTTCTTAAATTTGGAAAATCTGATAAGATTAACTTTTTTTTTCTTACATGACAATGTCGGCATTTACAAGAAACCCTAATTTTCAAGACATACATATATCTTTTCGAAGTTTCTTTTATTATTATTTTCAACATTCAATATATTTTTATCTCCTCTTTCTCCTAGGTTTTGATTTCTCATAGGTTTCGATGGATTCTTTTTCTGTGTTATAATTCTTTATTAAACCTTAATTTACTTACATATAGGTTTGGCGTAACTCGCCTTTACTCAAAGCAAGATGGATCGAATTCGAATGTATGTATTGCTCGAGTTTGATGCTTTGAAGCACGACTCAAAATTAGGAAAACATGCTGGAATACAGTTTTGGTTTGGAGACTTGCTCAAATATACAAACAAGACCAGGATTAATTGTCATCTCATATTCCCTTGCCGAATACTTACTTTCGTAAGAATAATTTAATCTGAAAATATGATTACAGCTGGAAACATTTGATATCTTCATAGACCTTCTGATCTGAAAATCTAGCTTTTATTATTAGCCATACTTCTTCTTTTGAAACCGTCATGCATAGCACTCCAATCATCTCCTCTGTTTTGGAAGTTCTAATTAGTTATTTTCTTAATGAAAGGTGTGTAAGATCTGCTACAGAAGTTGATGGGTTCAGGGTGGAGTATAATTTGGAACTGATGTGGAGAAACTCATGACCATGTAACTCTGGAATCGATCATATATATTTTTTCTGTGGGAGCCCTAACACCGTCCTAGCTATTTGCTTTCAAAGCCAGAAACTGAGAGTTTAAAGGAACATAAACCATTGATGTTACAGATGCTGTTGTGTCCAACATCTGTGCTGATAGTAGATTGATTCAAATATTGATATTAAACGGAACCCTAGCAATGGCTATTGTCTCTGTTAACATTTTATGGTCGATCTACAGTTCTTAGGTTAATATAAACTTTTGGAATTGATTGATGATCAGAGGGTTGTGGCTCTTGAAGTTGGCTTCACCAACAGGTTGTGCTCTTGGCGGGGTTTGTTACATACTAACAATATTTATTTTATTTTTACGAAGCTAAGCAGTACTATGCATATTATATTCGTTGATATACCCAAAAACGTTTTCTATGATGGATAACGACTTTGCACATGGTAGAAGTTAGTTTTTGACTCTTTTTGCACCTATAGATAATACATAAAAATTAGTTTTTGTTTTGTTTGTTGTGAACTGCATCTCGGTGAAAAACAAAAGTAGTGTCGCCGAGACAATATTCCAAACATGGACGATGCAACAACGTTTGCTCAGTCGGTTGTACAATTGCCAATTTGTTTGGGATTTGCATATTAACTATCCTGAATGTAATCGTTTGAATGTGGGATTTGTGATGGTCTTAGTCTGCTGACGTGGACAGAAATATTTTTCCATGATTTTCTGTTTTGATCCATGGATGACAAGGTATCCAAACAAAGAAAAAAGTGATTTCAGTGGCTTTTCGTTTTTGTGTTGACATCAGTATTTCTGTTTAAATTGATCAATTCAGGAGCTTGGTTTAAAGAACACGAAAAAATGAAAAAAAAATATAATTTTTAATGCTTGGTTTGTTTTTGCTCTCCTCTTTATTTTTGGATTACTATAGATAATTATATATAATCATATTCATACAGATTTTCTTTTTTTTTGTCTTTTGAATATGTATTTGTCTAATAATAGTTTATATTCCTAGAAAAAAATTAAAAGATTAAGAAGAAGATAAACCAGGTAAATAAGATGTTAGAGAAGACAAAGGTTGTGAAGAAGGAAGGAGGAAGAGACATGAACACAAGATTAATTCTGAAGAAAATAAATTGTTGAGAAAAACCAATAAAGAAAAAGTATGAAATATGAGAAGATGAGAAAACATAAATAAAAGAAAATAAAGGGGAAGAAGAAACAGATAAAAAAAGATGTTGAAAAAAAGAAAAAGATTGAGAATACTAAATGATGAAGAATACAATATGAAATAAGAAGAAAAACCTGAATAATAATATGGAAAAAAACGAAAGTTGGAAGACCAAGACGAAAAAACAAAAGAAACAAAACAGAAAGAAAAAAAAAATTGAAGAATATGTGAACAACAAAGAAGTTGGAAAAATCAAAAGATAAAAAATGAAGAATAAGAACACAAAGCCAATTGAAAAACAAATTGTAAATAAAAGGAAGAAAACAAATAAAAACCACGAAATAAAAAGATGGCGATGAAGAGAGAGGAAAATAAAAAGAGAATAGAAAGTTTGATAAGAATAAGAAAAAAATGGTAGAAAATGAAGGAAAAAAATTATGAAAGAAGTAAAAGAAGAAGATAATATGGGGTTGGGGTTTATGATATACGGTTTGTATTGATTGGCGTACGATTTAGTTTTTGATGCACTTTAAAAATTCTGAATATAATACATTACCGATTAAAAAAAATTCTCTCAAGAAAAAAATAAAAATAATAGCAAATCTAGAACCAATTTATAAAATGTAGGGTTCGGATGTGCGGATTGGGGTGGGGTTCGGGTGTGCGGTTTGGGGTGGGGTTTAAGTTTAGGGTTAGGGTTACTTTGGTGTGGGGGGGGGTTGTTACACGGTGGGGTTTGAGTTCAGGGTGTATGGTTGTTTAGGGGGTGGTGTTACATTGTGGGGCTTGGGTTTATGATGTAGGGCTTATATTGATGGGTGTAGGGTTTAGTTTTGATGCATTTTTAAACATTTGAATCGAAGAATATCATAATTAAAAATAATTGATTATAGATTTATATCCACCTTTCTAAATTACATTTACAAATAGAAAAATTAACAATTAAAGCAAATTCATAAGGGAACGATAACCAAACCATTAGATTTTTAAATATCTCGACTATATAAAGATAAAAATTATTTCACCAATCCTTGAAAATATTAACTATCGAATGAATTGATAGGTGAAATACAAGACGTAGACAAGAACGAATAAAAACACAAGTAAAAGAAAAGAAGACAGTAAAAAAGAAGATAAGAAATTTGGAGAAGAAGAAAAAAAACGAATATGATGTTAGAGAAGACGAATATGATAAAGATAGAGAGAGGGGAAATGAGGATGAAGAAAAACCGACAAAAGAATATAAAGAAAATTAGAAAAAAAAAAGAATAGTGAGCTGGAAGATATGAAAATATTGGAGAAGAAGAGACAAAGAAGAGATAACTAAAAACTAGAATAATATGATGTTAGAGAAGACGAAGGTGATAAATATAGAGAGGATGATGAAGAAAAAAAACCGAAAAAGAATGTAAACAAAATTAGATAAAAAAGAAGAATAGTGATTTAGTGAGTTGGAAGATCTGAAGATATAAGAAAATATTGAAAAACAAAAATTGGAAGAAGAAAAATAAAAAGGTGATGAAAACAAATATAAAATTAAAAGAAAAATAAGAAGATGAGATAATTGCAGAAGAACAAAAGAGAACAAAATAAGAAGTGAAAAATCTTTTGTATCTTTCTAAACAATGAAGAAGATTATATAGAAGAACGAGAAATAGAAAATTAAAATAAGACACATCAACATTACAGAAATAAGAATTTGGCGAAAACAAAAAAAAATATATAATCTAAAATTCTACTACTTATATTATTAAAATATTTAATTAATTAATTAATTTTAAAAACATTGTATCCGCACAAGGTGCGGGGCAACCACCTTGTTGTAATGTATTTATTGATTTCTTCCATTGTTAGGGATACTGAAGCGGATATGATCAAGAAAATAACCACTGATATATCGAACATGCTGAATAATTCCATATCATCAAGTGATTTTGATGGGTTAGTTGGGATGAGAGCTCATTTGGGAAGGATGGAACCACTACTATGCCTAGAGTCAGATGAAGTGAGGATGATTGGGATTTGTGGTCCTTCTGGGATTGGGAAGACCACAATCGCCAGAGTTGCGTACAGCCAACTCTGCAACAGTTTTCAGCTGAGTGTGTTTATGGAGAGTATCAAAGAAAACTATAAAAGACCTTGCTCCGATGACTACATCACCAAGTTGCAATTACAACAACAGTTTATGTCTCAAATAAGCAACCAAAAGGATATGGAGATTCCTCATTTAGGAGTTGCTCAAGATAGGTTAAAAGACAAGAAAGTTCTTGTGGTTTGGTCCTGGGAGTCGAATTATCATTACAACACAAGATCAAAGACTTTTTAGAGCACATGGGATCAACCATGTTTGCAAGGTTGATTTCCCACATAGTGATGAGGCTCTCCAAATCTTTTGCATGTATGCTTTTGGCCAAAAGTCTCCTAAAGATGGTTTATGAGTTTGTAGTTTGTACATATCACAATCATCCGTTTGTTCTTTGAAAGTAAGCATTAAAATATTTGTTATGTTATCATTGCCTTTTTTGGGGTCTGATTGTTCCAGTTGAAATTTTTATAATTGTCCCAAATTTTGTAAATGTAAGAATTTGTCGAACCCTTCAACGCAAAAGCAAAAAAAATGAATAAAATTTACGGTCTTGCCACTCCCGCTCCGTTCACTGTCGCTCTCTCGACTCCGACTTTCACTTTCCAGTTTAGGGTTCTTTCAATCGAGAATTCGTCGTATGTAGTGACCAGTCATTGCTTCATTTCGATTCTGATTCCTCCAAAGCTAGCTTCTTCGCATCCCTTCGTTGCTGAAATTCTAGATTGGGAATTTCAAAATCTTAGACCTATGTTTAGGAAACGGAACTTATTACTTCTGGAATCGTTGCGCCGATTCGATTCAACGGCAATGTGCAGTCGCATACCCTCGAAACCAGCCTCGTTCTGCACAATTGTTCAACCTCCTTCCGGATTAAGCTGGGGAGTTTCTTCTCAATCGATCCTCGCGAAGAAGCTCGAAATAGCTCTCAAGTCTCACCGTGTAGATGAAGCCTGGGACGTGTTCAAAGATTTCAAACGGCTCTATGGCTTACCGGATAACGCAACCATGAACAGGTTCGTGACTCTATTGTCTTACACGTCTGATTCCATTTGGCTTTCCAAGGCTGCTGATTTGACTCGTCTGGCTCTGAAGCAGAACTCATCTCTGCTAAGCTGCGATGCTCTAACGAAACTTTCGTTATCTCTAGCGAGAGCTCAGATGGCTGAACCTTCATGTGAAATCCTCCGAACCATCCTGGCTCGAGGCCACGTTCTAGCCTCGGATGTGTCGAGCCTTGTGGTGATGCATTTGGTGAAAACCGAGGTCGGTACTTGCTTAGCTTCGAATTACCTGGCTCAGGTTTGTGATGTCACCAAGCCTGATACGGCCTTGTTCAATCTTGTCCTTGGTTCTTGCGTGAGATTTGGTTTCTCTCTCAGAGGTCAAGAACTCATCGAGCTCATGGCGAGAGTAAATGTCGTTGCAGACGCGCAATCGATTGTGATCATGTCTTCCATTTACGAGATAAATGGGATGAGAGACGAGCTGAGGAAGCTCAAGGAGCTCGTCGTTGGCCATGTGCCTCCTCAGCATCTTCGTCACTATCGCCATTTGTTTGATAATTTGCTAAGCCTCGAGTTCAAATTCGATGATATTGTTTCTGCGGGTAGGCTTGTTTTAGAGTTATGCAAGAGTAAGGACTCGCTTTCAGCTCAGAATCTTGGATTTGATTCCGTTTTTTTGCCTGTTGGGTCTTACCATATCAAATCCGGTTTAAAGATTCAGATTACACCAACGCTTCTGCAGAGAGATTATTCATCTCTCGGAGTGTATACGGAGGCAAGATTTGTCAGTTATGAGAAATCAGAGCTTGGTATCACAAACAAGACTCTTGCGAAATTGGTGTATGGATACAAGAGACGTGACAATCTTCCCGAGCTGACGAAGCTTTTGCTTTCCGTTGGTGGATCCAAGTTATGCGGTGAGGTCATTGATGCTTGTGTTGGTGTTGGTTGGTTAGAAGCTGCTCATGATATTCTTGACGACACTGATTCTGCTGGACATCGAATGGAGCTGGAAACGTATAGAAAGGTCTTGTCTGGGTATTACAAGAGTAAGATGTTGAGAAATGCAGAAGTTCTTCTGAAGCGAATGACGAAAGCCGGTTTGATTACAGATCCACCGAATGAGATTATGGTTTCAACAGAAACCGGTGAAAACGCAGAGCTCAGGGCACTCTTGGCTGAGGAAGTTAAAGAAGGAGAGCAAATGAAAGTTCCAAATACGCTCTACGAGCTAAACTCGTCTCTCTACTACTTCTGCAAAGCTAAAATGCAAGGAGACGCGGTGACAACCTACAGGAAATTCCAGAAGATGAAGATCCCACCAACTCTCCAGAGCTTCTGGATGATAATCGACATGTACTCATCTCTCGGCATGTACAGGGAGATCACAGTCGTGTGGGGAGATATCAAAAGGAACAGAGAGTTAGAGGTAACACAAGATCTGTTGGAGAAGCTTGTTGTCAACTTCCTCAGAGGTGGGTATTTTGAGAGAGTCATGGAGGTTATCAGTTACATGAAGGAGAAGGGTATGTATAATGATCTAACCATGTATAAGAATGAGTATCTTAAACTCCATAAGAATCTATACAGAAACTTGAGAGCTTCTGATGCTGTAACAGAGGCTCAAGCACAGAGGATTCAGCATGTAAAGGCCTTCAGGAAATTTGTTGGTATAGTGGTTTAAAGACTTGAAATCTTTAACAACATAAAAAAAAAAAAAAAACTTTGGAATCATGTGTTATCAGTACTAATCTTGGTGGCTTCTTCTTATCTTCTTCTTCTGTTGATCTTCCGTACGACATCTCTCATGTATCTCTTCTCTCCTCCGTTTCTTAGACATTTCCTCATTCTTAGCTTTCTCAGCCTCATAAACTTTCCTCTTCTGTTGCTCCTTGACTTTTCTCTTCTTTGTCTTGATTTTGTGCATTAGCTTATAATGCTGGAGGATAGCAAGAGCTTTTCGTTCTCCTGGTTCCATTACAACAGCTCTCTTAGTCTCTAGTGATGGTCTCTTCCGCTTCCGTATGTCTTTGGGTTTGGATCCAAACGGTACAGCTGCTTGTAAGCTCTTTGAAACCACCAATGGACTAAACTTTCTCAGCTTCCTTTCGATTGGCTTGTAAAGTGAATCCTTGTCCACAGCAAGAGGAATGTTTTGCGCTCTGCGGAGTTGGAGGAAAGTCTTCATCCCTTCCCATGTCTTATCTCGCGGCTGCAACGCTGTAGTTAAAGGATTGTAAAACTTTGGAACTTCCACTCTGGTCCAAGCCTTTAAGAAGACAATGTCGCTCATTAGGATCTTATCCTCAAAAGTACACCTCACAATCCCTTCTTCTTGCACCTTGTTGCCGCCATCAAGCATGTTTTTCGCAGCCTGACAAAATCAAGAAAACCAAAGTTATAGTAAGAATAGATGACCGTAAAGCTTGACAAGACCAAGATCAAGATACCTTTTTCACTTGTCCTCTAATGCCACTAACTGTCTGAACAGAAGAACCTTCAAACCGAGCTATTTCAAGGTCGGAAGTGAACATGTCTTTGATAAACGTAGTCTTCTTCATGATCTTGCAAGGATGTCCGACCATCTTGATCTTCTTTGCGATACGTGCTTGGTGGTTACACTCGAGGACTGCACCAGTCGCTGTGACCCTAAACCCTGCCTGATTGTTTGACAGGTTCTGGAAGGCGACAAAGCCGGTTCCTGGTGGGACAAGAGGACCCCATAACATAGCAAGACAGTGCTGATGCTCTGGAGTGTACTTGAGCATTCGATGTCTGCCGTTTTCATCTTCAGTGGCGTACACAGGAAGCGTCTGATATCGTCTCCATCCGACAGACACGATGATGGGATCTCTCGTCTTTAGTACGTTCTTGTTCCACCTATGTCTCTTCAACCGAACCTAAGGGACAAAGCAAAACATATGATACAATAACTAAAAGTATTCAAGACATAAACAGTCACGTTTTTTACCTGCATGTATCCGGCATTGTCCTCTCCGAAGCTAAGACCTCCAACAAGAACTGGATGACAAGGATCAAAGAACTCAACCATCTCATAAGGAACATTGTGAATCTCTAGCCTCAAGTATGATCCAGTCCTGAAACCTTCTATCTCAATCCGAGTATCCTCGCCAAGATCATTGAGTGCTGCCATATTCATCTGTTTTCTGATTTCAGCCTCCTCTTTCAGTTTGTCAACGTATCCTTGTGGTTCCTTGTCCTGATTGTTCACATTTTCGTCAAACTTTGCTCGTTGAGCAAGCTTTTTAAGCCCACGCTCAACTTCTTCAGCATCATCCGACTCCATATTCTCATCATTATGCTTTTCTCCAGTCTCTAGATCCTCAAAATCACCATGAAGGTGATCGTTTTGATTCCTCTCATCAGCTTTTGACCAGTCACCAGTGGTGAATCGATCACGAATGCTCTCACAGACTTGTTTCTCGTTCCAGTTCTTTATCTCTCCATTACACACAATCTGACTTGACATATCCCACATCCAATCCAGAACATAACTTCTTGCTTTCTTCACCTTTTAGCTTAAAGAAGTCCTCCTCCTCATCATGATCATCATCACTAACTTCATTGTTAGCAGCTGATGCTCCATACACAATCTGCATCAAGCTGGGGTTCTTCTTTATGCTGTCCTTGAAGATAGCTTTCCTCCTTAACCTTCCATCATGCATCTCAGTTTTCTCACTGACTTCAGCCTCATCAATCTTTGTCTCTGAAGTGGTGTTACTACTACTAGTCTTTTTCCCAAAAAAATCAACAAAAGTCTTGTCCAATTTCTCATCAAGAGAGTGTTTCGTGTTCTGCAAGGACTTCACCAAATCAACACCAACATCTCTGCCCTTTCCTTTCTGATCACTACTTCCAGAAAACTGAGCAAACCGATCATCAATCTCGACATAAACCGCATCTTTATCATACAAAAGATCTCCAATCCCGGACATGGGAGCATAGAAAAGTTTGTCTTTTTCCCTCAACCCTTTCTTCTTCTTGTCAGAAGATGAAGGTAAAGGACATGGATCAGACAAAACAGAAACACCAGCTAAACCGTAATCACCAACTCCAGCAACATGAACCTTCGTCCCTTTCTTCAAGTTACACCCACGCAAGTAACCATACAACGTGATGTTCCTATCGCATTTCTTATCCTTCTCAACTCTCTCCGGAGGCGTAACATCTTCCAAACGATCAGCCAACAGATAAGGATGCGATGATCTCAGCTTCTTCACGTCTTTAAACTTATCCAAGTGAGTGAGCACTCCCATAACTCTAGGGAAGCCATGAACTTGCATGATGTTGAGGAACTCAAACGTTTCCATCTCGAAACCGTAGCTTCCGTCAACGACAAGTAAAGCTAGGTCAGCGACTTTGGCTAAATCCACCATCGCGTTGATATCGTTTGGACATTCCACGATCTGTATCCGTCTGTCTTTTCCTGCTACAATCGTTATCGGTCCTCGAACATCGGGTAGGTTTTGATGGGTGACGTGCTTTACAAGGGACTTGATCACTAGGGATTTTCCGACTCCTGGTGGGCCTTGAACCACCACGAGATAAGGAGGAGGTTCTCCGTAAGTACGATCGATTGTCGGAAGATGAAGTCGCTGCTGCTCCTTCTCCACGGAGCGAGCCTGCGATTGCTTCGCCCTCACAGCTGAGTTAAAAGTATACGCATTAGGGTTTTGCTTCTTGTTCTTGTGATCGGTTTCAGATTTCTTTTTCATGGAAGAAGGACCTGATTTTCGAGCTCTGTGCGGCCTGTGAGACGGCATCAATTCGTCGGCGGCCATAGCTTGCAGGGAGAAGAAGAAGAAGATAGAACAAAGTTTTTCACAACTATATAAATTTAGGTTATTTTTCAAATACAATAGTAACTTTTTTAGTTGTCATATAAATACTTAACTTAATGATAATGAAAATGTACCTAAATAACTTCTGTAAAAGAAAAAGGAATCTTTTTTGATAAAGCGCTTTCTTAAAAGAAAAAGAAAAAGGAAAATCGAGCAAAAGTGAAAGCAAGCAACTAAGAAAAAGCAAAAAGGAAATCACGAAGAAAAGGCAAACAAGAAGAAAGGAAAGTGTATCAATAGTAATTAGCAATTTACTATTCTTGTTTAGAATCATATCTCTATAAATAGAGGTCTAGGCTTAACGATTATAGTATCAAAAACATCACAAAGATCAAAGAAAGAGAAAGGTTTAAGAGAGAAACCATTCCATAAAATTCCAACACCTTTGACAAGGATGGCCGCTGTTCGTTTTGCTCCTACAGAAGAGGAAATTTTTGAAAGGTTTTTGTTCCCAAGGCTGGCAGGAGATGAACATGCGTTGCAGAACTCTCCTATACGCTTCTTTGAACTCTACAACCAAGATCCCGTCACTGCTGCGTTTCCACCACAACATTTCTTCTTAGCTAACAACCACTACTTCTTCGTTAGTCGTGTCCCAGTAAAGCCGGCTTCTTTGAAACCAAGCCGAGTAATTGCCAACTTAGTGTCTCCAGGAAGATGGAAGACCGTGGGTAAGGCCAAGCAAGTTAAACGTGGGAACACAATAATACTTGGACAAAGGAACACTCTTGACTTTGTGACTGTGGAAGGGAGAGGACAGGGTGGCGACAATATGAGTACGAAAGGATCCTAGACGATTTCCAGACGGTGGTGGTTGTCCACCTATTCTATCAATTGGGGCTCGACCAAACCGCAGACGTGAATCAACTCGTGGGTTGAAGATGCTTGTGAAACTTCTTGATGACGTACACATATTTTTGTTTTGTTTTGTTTTGGCAGTAGAGATCCATTTATGAATTTTCATATTTTTTGTTCTAACGAGATCCATTTATGAATTTTCATGAATATAATAATTTGGTTGTAACGGGACGGGATCCATATGAATTGTTTTAATTTCATCCAGTGCCGGCCCTACATATTTGGTGGGCTAAAGTTTTTTTTAGAAATGTGACCTAGAATTTTTTTTTTTTAGAAAATGTGGCCTAGAAGAAAAAAATATAAAGAGTTTTCTACTCCAACAGGATTTGAACTCAAGCAAGGAGAGCTGTCATGTATGACCTATGACCACTATGCTATTATACATATATGTAATTGTGGCCCTCAAAAACAATAAATATAAGTGTGACATAAATCTAATGCTTTATGAGCTTTATGGCTGGGTCGGACCTGATTTCATCTAGTAACTTAGTGAAAGATTCAATGGAAATACCTAGAATTTTCTTTGACTATGTGTAAGACATTACATTAGCTTTTGTATATGTTAAAACTAGTGTAATATAGTGGAAGGTCAAGAAAATAATATCATTCCACTTGATTTCGGTACGGTCTTTATGCCCATGCCAAGGCTGGGACTTTGACCCGAAATCTGAACCGGATTATTGAAAAACCCAAACCAAACCCGAATTGAAAATGAAAAAAGTCTGAACAATTTTTATAACTCAAACCCAAAACTCGAAAAAACTTTAAAATACACAAATCGAAATTTTAAAAAATCTGAATGGTTCTTATATCTCTAAACCTGAAAATCTGAAATCCGAAAATCTACGCAAACCTAAACCGAATCTGAAGTCCCTAAAGATTTCAAAGTGGCTCTATGATTTCATAAACGATTTCAAAGTGCATGTGGAAGCCCCTTAATCTAGTGGTTGTTTAAGGGATTTAATACTTTAGATCAGGTCTGGGTTTCGAATCATGCAGATTATTGGAGACAAGACTATAGAAGGTCTACACGTAGAGCCATTGGTCGTAAAACCTTTGAAAACGGTAGAATCGGCTGTTGAATTATCTTGTTAATTAATGTTAGAAAAAGAAAATGATTGGGCCTTCGATAAACATAATATCTAATGTCCATTTATATTGCAAGCCCAAGCTCCACAGAGTCAGTTAAACCGAGTTAACTCGTGAAACTCGCTGGGTCGTACTTCTAATTCTAATTCTCTCGATTCCGAGCCCTTTATCGATCGGGAAAGCTCTGCAACCGGGAAGGAGTAATTCAGAGAGAGGAAACCTAAATCCAAAACCTTACTTTTTTGCTGTTATGGATTCACCACGGAAGAAAAATCCTATGGATGCTTTGTTCGGAGAAGATTCCGATAACGACTCTTCCCGTTCGAAATCGTCATCTTCCGGTAATGCGTCTTCTTCAAACTCCTCGTCTTCTTCATCTTCGTCTTCTGGGGCGTCTTCCTCAAAAGGCGGAGATGGAGACGGAGACGGCGATGGTGCGGAATCTAGCAGCGCGAGCGATAGCAGAAGTAGCGGTGGGAAAGAGGAGGAGCAGGGAGGAGACGATAGAGTAGATAGCTATAGGCGCAACGATAATGGAGAAAGTGGAGTTTATGCTTATGACGAAGAAGAAGATGAAGACGAGAAGGATCTTTTCGGGTCTGATAATGAAGAGTACACTAAGACTCCTGCAATCAGCACTTACTCAATTCCGGGTAAACCAAAATTTGGGATTTTCTTATCAGAGAAAGTTCTCTGGGGACGAAGTTTTTGACTGATGTGAAAAATGATAGTTTTGCCTGCGGGATGGAGCAATGACAACCACGGAGGAAGAGGAATGGGACGAGGTCGGTGGCCAAATGGGAGAGGAGGAGCTGGGCTACTTCCTCGGCCTGGGCCGTACCCTGGAGGACGTGGTGGTCGTGGTGGTTTTGGTGGGAGGTACCAGAACTATCAGCGTGACGAGCGTTTTGTCTCTGAGCTTAAACTTTCGAAAAGCAAAGAGACATTAGCTAGGAAATCTACCCTCGTTCAGGAGGTAAACTTTATTAACGAAGAATGATTTATATTACTAGAGGCAGAGTCGTTTTGCTGTTCCCTGAAGCTCAACATGTTTGATATTGACAGCCATGTGAGCTTGCAAGCTACAGTCGTGTAGAAGGTGGAGAAGTATTCTATGATGAGCGAGGATTGGTGAGAGCTTTTGGTTTTGTTGTTCCTTAAAGGTTTCCTCATCTCATTTAACTGTTGAGTTGATGGGAGTATATATTCAAAGCACATACGTAAATCATCCATTTTGTATCCGTTTTGTTCTTGTTTTGCAGAGGCTTTTCAAGCGTCATGTTTCTGAAGACATTGGAGCGGATTTAAATCAAGGCTATGATACTTTTGTTGAGAAAATAGGTAGTGAGTTTTGGCACAGTATTTTTTTACTAGGAACTATTAGAACTAGGCTCTGCAAGATGTATAAGTTTGAGGTATCCTACTGATTTGTTTTCTTCTTTTGAGGCAGATCTAGGCTCTGAGGGCTTCGGTGACCTTCTTGGATGTGTTAGAGCAAAAAACATTTCGTTGGATAACATTCATTTTGTGGTATGAAAGTGCTTGTGTGTATCAGTCCATTTCACTACCAATTCATTACTTTGAAAAGATGATCTCAATCATTTCTTTTTTGTGCTTTGTTTTGGACAGACATTCCGTAATAATCTAAACAAGGTATGTAAGATCCTCAACATTTCATTTTGCTTTTTATCGAGCCAGTTAACTCAATTTGCTGTTTTTCTTACTGAATAAGAAATGACAATGCATGGCTCAGTTTTCTAAACCACTCGCTGTGTTTCGTTTCAGATACTTGGTGCTGCTTACAACCGGCATGAACCGTGGGAAATGGGTGTGCATAAGAGGAATGGAACCATATATCTGGATGTGCATAAACTGCCTGAAAGGCCGCAGAATGACTTAGATCGCCGCAGGTAATCTTCATTCCTAATAATTTAATCAGTGGCTAGGAATGTTTCGGAAAATAGGGTCAGAAGAAGGTGTAACTCTTCGTTTTTGCTACTAATCTACCACGCGATGCTATATTTCACCATCAGATGTTACTGGGGTTATTGTTTCGAAAGCCTTGCAACCGAAGATCCAGGAAGAGCTTATGGTGAAGAAATACATCATGTGGATTCCAATGTCGAGTTTTGTTCAGTTGTCAAGACTAAACTCGGAGCTCACCGTGTTCTGATGGGTGCTGAAATGGATTGCTGCGACGAAACTGAAGAAGGAAGGAGGTTTTATATAGAGTTGAAAACTTCTCGCGAGGTATGCGTCTCTCTCTCTCTCTCTCTCTCTCTCTCCATGCCATAGTTTTCCTTAAAGCTCCATTGTTTATTTCAGTTAGCTTCTCTTTTATTCATTGCCTCTATAACTTGTCTACTGTTTGCTCTCTAGCTGGATGATCGTACCGTAGAGAGATTTGAGAGAGAGAAACTGCTTAAATTCTGGGTAAGTATGAATGATGTCTCATACATTTTCCTTCTTGTGGATTCTTAGAAATAAAACTGAGTGAGAGATTTATTGCTCTGCAGATACAATCATTCTTAGCAGGAGTCCCCTATATTCTCGTCGGATATAGGTAAACTCAATAAACTCAGAAAGTTAAATCCTTTCGAAATTCAAGCAAAGCAATTCAAGTGAACTTTTCTATTTCCATGTTTTTGAACTTGGTGTAGAGATGATGGAGGGAGATTAGTACGAACAGAGAGACTAAGAACGAAAGATATCGCGCACAGAGCTAGATTGAAAAACTATTGGCAGGTCAGTGTTATCACTGTATTTAGAATCTCTACAATCCAAAATCTTGTTGAAACTAAACACAACCGAGTTTTTGGTAAATTAGGGAAATGTGTGCTTGGCATTTGCTGATGAGGTTCTTTGCTGGCTATATGGCACTGTTAAAGACAGTAAGCTCATATATATTCTTTTACTTGTGTCTCTTTACATAAAACAATGGAAGAAAAAGTTCTTGTCTGATACAAATGTGTTTTTGCAGATGAAGATTACACGCTTCAGTTTGTGCACCCTTTCATGAGGCTAGAGCTTCTTCAAGCTCAGTCTTGTCCTGACGCCATCACTAATCATGTTCACCTTCTTCAACATCCTTCATCACCACCACCACCTCTGTAACTCCGTGCTTCGAGTCTTTAGTGGTTCAAAATCAAATTTTCTTTTTAAATAACAGGGTTTTGATTTTGGATCTCCCTTGTAACTTATACAATAACCAACCAACGAAAAATGCCACTTCAAGATTTTTTTCATTTTTGGTTTTGAAACTGTTCTTCCACCACGAGAAACGAATCTAACTTGGGCCGGGCCTGTTTATCTCGGCCCAAGCCTTGTTATAGTCTTACTGTTACCACGTGACCGTCACGTGTCTCTCTCTTGGTGGCGGACGAATCACCGCTTTACTGGAGAACATAATTCTGTTTCATTCTTTCCCGTTTTGCCCTTCCCTCTTCTTTTATTCTTTTCTTATCTCCAAACAAAAAAAAAATTCAAGCGAGAACAAAAAAAAAAAAACTGTGTATGTACCAACAAGAGGGACTACATGTCAGATAGATAAACGCGAGACGAGAAGCTCCGATTCGAAACCCTAGAGATTCGGAAGCTCGCTCAACCGCCTCCTTGGCCTTTTTTTTTTTTTAATTCGCCGGTGAACGGTACCGGAAATTGTATTATATTCACGAGATTCGGGAGTTGTGAGAGATAGAGATCATGTATAGTAGAGAGAGGGGAACGGTTGGATCGAAGTCGGAGGTGGTAGATCGAAAACGAATAAACGAGGTTCGCGATAATCGGGCGTCGCATTCGATGTCTCAGCCCGTCAATGGAAAGGGCAAGGTAGCGTCGAACTCCGTCTTGATTGGGAAGCAGTTGCATGACAAGGATTCACGCTCTGCTTCTCTCTCGAAGACCACCATTTCCGACGGTGAGATTCGTCTTTCTTTTTGCCTCTTATTGTTAATTTCTCTATGTTATCGTGATTCAATTGCGGATTGTTAGATTCAATTCGATTCGATTCCGTACCTAGGGTTTGCCCCCATTTCGAAATTTGGGATTTTCGTAGAAATCTCTTAGCCTGAACCTCTCTTTTGGATTCATAAACTTAAATTGTGTATATATCTGTGTTATTTGATGAGCTCAAGCAATTGTTCATTTTCATGTAATGGAATGTTTAAAAGCTAGAAACTTAATCCGAAATCGAATAAATATAAATCAGTCTTCGTTGATAAAGTTTACCTCCTGAACGATTGTAGATTTCCTGGACAAGTTGTCATAGACTTAAATTGTGTGTTATTTGATGAGCACAAGCAATTGTTCATTTTCAATCACTCGAACTAGAAACTTGACACAGCTATTGTTCCTGATTCGAGGAAAGCTTTTTTATAAGAATGATGCTGATGAAAATGTTTCTTGTGGGCATTTCGTAGCTGTAGATATATCAGACACAGACAGCGAGGAATCTGAGGTCAGTGGTTCCGATGGAGAGGACACGTCATGGATCTCCTGGTTCTGCAACCTACGTGGGAACGAGTTCTTCTGTGAAGTTGATGATGATTACATCCAGGACGACTTTAACTTGTGTGGACTCAGCCATCAAGTTCCCTACTACGATTATGCCCTTGATTTGATTCTGGATGTCGAATCTTCTCACGGTAAGTCCTCATGATAATAGTTTAAGCTGAAAAGTTGGTTGGCCTTTCGGTTTCTGTGTCTTTATTGTTTGATTTGGATTGACGGGTAACAGGTGAGATGTTTACAGAGGAACAGAACGAATTGATCGAGTCGGCAGCAGAGATGCTATATGGAATGGTTCATGCTCGTTACATATTGACAAGCAAAGGGCTCGCTTCTATGGTAAAAGAACCTTTTTTTTCTTTGCCTCAAGTTGCATACTTTATTTAACAAGTCCTCTAGAACAGAGAGCAACTGTTGGTGTCATTTCCAATTGATTTTTGCAGCTAGACAAATACAAAAACTATGACTTTGGAAGATGCCCAAGAGTTTATTGCTGTGGCCAGCCTTGTTTACCGGTTGGTCAATCCGATATCCCTCGAGCAAGCACCGTGAAGATATATTGCCCCAAATGTGAAGATGTCTATTACCCACGATCCAAATACCAAGGAAGTATCCTTTTTTATATATATAGATATACTGCACCATGCATGCCTAATAACGAGTCTAGTCTAGGCTGGTTTTGCTTTGATTCCCTCATTTGATGCTCCTCCTATATTATTTGCTGCATTGTTTTGGATTGTTGTTCTTTAAATACACGAAATAAACAGATATCGATGGAGCTTACTTTGGGACAACGTTTCCACATCTGTTCCTGATGACATACGGACATCTGAAGCCACAGAAGGCAGCACAAAGCTACGTCCCAAGAGTGTTTGGGTTCAAGCTACACAAGCCGTGAAGGAAAAAAGGAAGAAATGATGTACACCCCTGAACGCAGATACTAAGAAGCATCATGGTGTTTTGAGAAAGGCGGTGGTTGAAACAAGAGATGTGCGTAAACAAAACCAAAAATGTCATATGTATCACGAAGGTGAAACTAGTTCTCTCTCTCTCTCCCTCTCTGTCTCTTCTTTTTGTGTTGTTTGTGTCCTTTAGGTTTAGATGCATTAGCTGCACGGATTGGTGAAGTAAAAATCCCATATTAAAAATTGTAATACTTTACCTTATTGTTCTCTTTATCTATCTTTTTCCCAGTACTCAAATTAGGTAACACAATTCTCCAAATTGCTTGTAGCAATGTCAGATTTATGAGCTATTCATGTTTGTCTCTTAGGATTTTGTTGTCAGCTAATGAAATCTGCGTATGGTTTAAGTAGTTTTAGCTCTTAAAACTGAATTGAATTTGAATTCAAATCTTTTAATTGAAGTACGATTTGGCTACATAATCAAACATTAACGACTTCTTGAAATACATGTATATCTTTCGTTTCTTTAGATAGGTTTCAAATTGATCCCAGATAAAACAGAGAGACTCGAAAACAGATTATGACATTTGACATTCATGATAAAATCTGTGACGAACAACCACACACACACATATATACACAAAACCATAAATGAGAGAAGTGCCTTCATTCAAGAAAAATGTATCAATCAGAATCTTTCAAGGACATTGTTACTCAGTGAACATCCAAAGATGTCAGAAATCCCAAAGCTATATACAAACTAAAGCGACACCAACAAGGGAGAAGCTAAAAAGGTCTGGTCAAAGAACTATTGCTCTGTACCGAGCAGAAGAAGAAGTAAAGAAGATATATATCTATACATGTGATGGTATTATGTATACGAAGTAATATGATTCAGTATAAGAGTGTGGTAAGGTAATGTCTAATATGTATGACCCTGAAGATTCCATCTGGCCCTAAGATGACCTGGAAGATGTTTATGCGCCATTAGTACCATTCTGACCAGCCTGGAGAAAAGGAATTCAAACAAAGAAATCCATTAATATCTCGTAATTTAAGCTCATAAATGCAAATTTTCATTCTTAATTCTCATTTAACCTGAGTGTTGTGGCTAGAGCTTGATCCTCCTGATGTGCCATTTCCCGAAGCGCCATGACCGTTTTGACAAGCCTGAAGGACAGAGAACTCCATTAACATGTTTAAGTTTGATTAAGCTCCTCTAAATTCACATTCATTCTCGTTATGTCAAGCTTGCCTGAGTGTTGTTAGAGCTTGCTCCTGCAGCTTGGTTCACACTAGCATGACCCGATGTGCCATTAGCACCATTCTGACCAGCCTGAGAAAATGATTCAACCACAGAAACTCCATTAACGTATTACTTCAACTAAAGCTCTTTATACGCACATTCATTCTCAATATCTCTCATTTTACCTCATTGTTGCCTGCAGCTTCATTCACACCACCTGGATTATCACCAATCTGTTGTTCATCCTGTGAAAAAGCATTGTAAAGACCCTCCATTTACATCTCTCTGATCAAAGCTCAAAGATGACAACACCTGACTCTTTTAAAGTTTCAGTTTTTTTTACCTCAGAGTCAGAGTGTGGCTCAGCAACTTGTAACACCACCAAGTCCTGATTAAGTAATCAAAAGCAGTTATATAAAGAGAGCAAGAATACGATCCGAACATGTTAGTAACAACACAACAAACCTCAATGAATGGGAGAGTGTTGATGTAAGCTCCACCGAGGTACAAACTCTCGCCTTCTACGATCATCGTTACTGTGAAATCATTCATAGGAAACTCGTTTTTACTCATAACCAAGAAAGAAACTGTTACTGTAGTTTCTCGTTCAAGAAACTGTTAATCAATCAACCAATCAATCGTCAAACATTATCGTCATATAATAATCTGTTCATACGCAGCAAGAATCTGTGAAGAAAAACGAATTGAAATCATCAAACTCATTACGCAATTTTCCAGATTCTTTTTTTTTTCCTACTCGCATCATCATCATTACGGTTTCAATTTCTCACAAGAAGTAAAAAGAATCAGTAGAAATCGTGGAGAGAAAACAACTAACCGTCCTGGATTCCGAATCTGGAAGCCTCTAGCTCGAAATAGCAGACTTTTCCTTCGTAGCGGTGACGAGTGTCCTTCTCACGAAAGTTCACCACATTTCCGTCGACTAAATCTGCTGGGTTCACGTCCGCCATTGCAGCTCCAAGGATCTCCGATCGAAGATTGATTGATTCAGTTTCAGGGATTTGGTTTTCGTCTTTGTAACTAACTTCTTCGTCAAGAATTTCTGGAGCGCAGAGTTTTTGTTTCGCGAAGATTTGAGTATTTATAGAGATCCTTGGGAGGGAAAATGCGATTGAAGACATTGAAAACAATAAAAGAAAAGCCCAATGGGCCCAAATCGAAAAAGCCTTTTAATAATTCGAGCTGTCGCTTTCTCTGACCAGTGACGAAGAAAGCTTTCTCCTTTTTTTATAATTTCGTATAGGTGTGTGTTCCTGCGAGCATATAGCGCTCTCTAGATTACGTCTCTCTCTTTCTCTCTCTCTCTCTTTCTTGCTTGGTGAAGAAGAAGAAGGCCTTTTGATTGATTTCTTCCTCCACAATCGTATTTCCATTGGTTCAGTTTTCGCAACCCTAAAAGCTCCGGCACAATTTCTCCGTTTGTTTTTTTGTATCTCTTTGGGAATTTGGGGCGTTGTTGAATCAGGCGAGCGAATTTGTTGATAATGCCGCCGTTTATGTCAGGCTACAGGGCCGTGGTTTCGTTAATTTCATGTCGAAACGCAATCAGGAGCTCGATCGTTAGCCGTTCGGGGATCGCGCAGGGGAGTTTGGTATCTTATCAATTCCGTCGATTTGGTTCTCTTTCCGGCGTCGACAGATGTTCTTCTTACGGCTTGATATCAAATGATGATGATGTGGCGAGAAGAATCGTGAGATTGCCAAGCGCTGGGAGCGTAATTCAGAGACGCCATTTTCTGGGTTGTGGAGATGGGGAAGAAGGTAGTGGTGGTGAGTTATCTAAGATCTACGAAGAACGACGCGTCTTGGGGTAATTTACATTCAACTTTGTTCCGATTCCGATTTCGGATTTTGCCGATTTATTGATAGCTCTCTGCGTCTGCCTTGGCTTCTTCCAATTTGAGAAATGGTTTTGTAGATCAAACAGGGAAGGAATGGTTCAGTGATCTAATAGACTTTTAATTGTGCTTTTGTGTTTATGAAGTAATTTTCTGGAAAGATGATTTGCTGAGATGATAATCTGAAGAATTTCATTTTGTGTAAAATTGTTTGGTTTTAGGCAGAGATTGTGTGAGAACTTTTTTGATGATTTTGCTGTGTCAACATGATCGTATCCCTTATACTTGTTTGTTCATGTTTGATAACAATCATTTGAGGTTCATTTCTTCAGAGGAGAAAGATTGAGGAGTTATGTGTGTTATGATTGGCAGGTACTCACCGGAGCAATTGTTTAACGTAGTTGCAGCTGTGGACTTGTACCACGGGTTTGTTCCTTGGTGTCAACGCTCCGAGGTTCTTAAAGAGTATCCAGATGGCTCATTCGATGCAGAGCTCGAGATTGGTTTCAAGTTTCTTGTTGAAAGCTACATTTCCCATGTTGAATTCGAAAGGCCCAAATGGATCAAGGTAATAAGGACTTGTTTTTGGTTTTGTTTATTCATCTTTCTGTTTTGTTGTTGGATTTGAGTGGTGTGATTGATGAATTCTAATTTGGAAACTTGGTACTTACTTTTGCAGACAACGTCGAGGGACACTGGTCTGTTTGACCATTTGATAAACCTCTGGCAATTTGAGCCAGGGCCGATTCCAGGAACATGCGACCTTCATTTCCATGTCGATTTCAAATTCAACTCACCTCTCTATCGTCAGGTAAAAACTACTTCATTAAACCTCTGTTGTTAGTAAACGAAGGAACAAAAAAAAAACTGATTTATTTGTTCTTTGGAAACTGTTAGTAGTCCAAGAAATCTACAACAAAGTTATGATTCCTTTCTTATTGTAAAGATTGAAACTTGGAGTTTGTTAAATTGTTAGCAACAGAAGAATCTACAAGAAAATGATGATTTCTTGTTCCTTGAAAACTGTTGATAATCGAAGAAATTTACAAGAATGTTACTGTTCTTTTCTTTCTCTAAAGATTGAAATTTGAAAAATTGTTAGTAAGAATGCAAAAGCTTATGATTTCTTTGTTCCTCAGAAGTTGAATATTGGTGAATTCAAAAGCTTGAAAGTGTGTTTCTTTATATCATCCTGTTACCTGCAGGTGGCTTCGATGTTCTTAAAGGAAGTAGCAACAAGGCTTGTGGGGGCATTTAGTGACCGATGCAGACTAGTGTATGGTCCAGGTGTTCGAGTAGATGAAAACGCATATGAGCAAAGAGTTAAGTCTTAAAATATATAACAAGATCAGGTTAGTTTTCACCTTGTCTGCTAGAGGAGCGATTACGCATCATCATAGCTTGTTTTTATTTCTTCTTGTATGAATGCTTTTGCATAAAGAAGATCAACCACATTTGATGTTTGTTTAATGTATATCTGAAAAAGAAAGTTTGAGAAAATCTGAAAAGTAAAGTTTGGAAGTTGATCATTTTTTAAACAAGGTCGCAAATCTTTTTAGTCTTGTAAAAATCTAGTCATAACCATTGAAGACGATGAAATGATATTGTCGGAAGGAGAAGAAGAAAGAAGAAAAACTAAGGAACGGAATTGAAGACGCGCTTTTACCTTTTCTTCATTTTATCCCAAATGACCAAAAGTATCTCTCTTTTTCAAGTCAAACTTTGATGGAATTTATATCTCACTTTTTCATTTTTGTTAGTTATTGAAAGTGAAAAGGACAGGGAAAAATACAAATAAACGGGTCCGTGTGTTACAAAAGTCAACAGTTTACGTGTGTGAGTAAATATGGAGCCCATGTCATAATTCATCACAGTAACTCTTGTCGAATATGGCTCTATAAATTGAGTCATTCTCTATAAATTGTCATTCATTTGTAAGACACATCTAAGGCAATACAAAATTGTCCTTCTTCCTCCTATTTGGTACACTTCTTTCTTTAGTATAGATTCATTCACAAAATCTTTCCGAGAGTTTCTTTTACAAATATTTCTCAACACAAATATAGTTCTCAGACAAAATAAAATATATGATATAATTATAACACGTTATCAGCACGATCACTCTGCCATTATAATTCTAAATTCTAAATTAAATTTACCATTCTCGGAGTGCGGCTCGCCGCCCCGGCAACAATTTGTCTTTATTTTTACAGTGGTTGTTTTATACACCATAATGGACGGTTTAACCTCCTAATATTTTTACTTGCTGTTATTCTTTTATTTACTCTATCTTTATGGTTGATTTTAATCACCATATTCATTTATTTATTTACCATGCTTTATTTTTACTTATGGTTGATTTTAATCACCATACTTATTTATTTATTTGTTCTGCAATTTTTATTCAATCTATTTTTATGGATGAGTTTAGTCACCATATTTAACATGTTTTATTTTATTTGTTTTATGGTTGATTCATTCACCATATTTATTTATTTACTGTTATTATATGGATGAATTAATCACCATATATTTATCTTTAAATTTCTGTTTAAATCATAATTACTGTTAAAATTTATATTTTATATCTGAACTAGTAAACAATTATTTTCTAACATTTTTAAATTATTATATATTTATAGAATTATTTTTTTACTTCCAACGGTCATAAAGTTAATTCTCCAAAAGTTTTTTTTTTTACTTTCTAACGGCTACTTAAACGGCTAATAAACAGTATTTTCTAATCTATAAATACACTTATTTTTCATTCACTCATTTCACTCAAACAATTTATCTTTCATCGAATCCCTCAAAGAAAAAAAAATGCTTAATCTATTTTTAATTTTTGTAATAGGTTATATTTTTGTTGCAATTTATAGTTTATATATTGGAGAATTTTCTCCAGAAGAATATGTGATGATTTTTATGTTAATGTTTTATGCAATTGTATTTCTTGTAATCTCGTTATTTATTCCAGCTCCACGCATATTTTAAATTAAATAAAATTATTTTGCTAATAATACTCTGTGTTATTTTATTTTAGACATAATGGCAAATATCGAGAAGCTCCAATTCCCGGCCTTGGACATCACTGGTGCTAATTACATTTCTTGGACCACGAATGTCGAACTTCATTTGGAATCTCTTGCGTTATCAGAAACCATAAAAGAGAACAATAAGTCGACGGCCCAAGAAAAGGCGAAATCGGTGATCTTCCTTAGAAGACACCTAGATGAGAGCATCATATATGATTATGCACACACGAGGGATCCCAAAGAGCTCTGGAAGTCTCTGAAAGATCGGTTTGATCATCAGAAAGACATAACACTTCCACTTGCTCGGGATGAGTGGCAAAGTCTGAGGTTCCAAGACTTTGACAAAGTGATTAACTACAATTCCGCCGTGTTAGGAACTGTGGCCAAACTGAGATACTGTGGTGAAACCATAACGGAAGCTCAAATGCTTGAGAAAACGTACACCACATTCCACAAGGATCACATCACCCTGCAACAACAATACAGTTGCGGGGATACACCAAATTTTCTGATTTGATTGTGGCACTCCTAATTGCGGAGAAAAACAGTGAGCTCCTCATAAAGAATCACATGACTCGACCTACTGGATCCAAAGCGTTTCCTGAAGCAAACGCATTGGATGTAAAGAAACCGGTGAAAGAAAACAATTCTTTCCGAGGTCGTGGAGGTCGAAACAATCGCGGACGTGGCGGACGTGGGATACAACCCAAATAACAAAAGGTCATTCCAATGGAATCGCTCTGAACAATCTTCAGAAAAAGAGCACCAAGGAAACACCTCCCAGAAGCGAGAGACTGTTTGTTACAGATGCGGTACAAAAGGACATTGGTCCCGGAATTGCCGTACTCCTAGGCACCTTTGTACATTGTACAAAGATTCCGCCAAAGGCAAAGGAAAAGAAGTAAACCTTGCAGAGCACTCAGAGGGAACAACCCACCTCGATGCTTCTGACTTTGCAGATGATTTCGATGACACCGTCCCATCTGAAGTCTGAAATATCCGTCATGTGACTCATGAAATCCCAAGGATTGTGTTATAAATAATTGCCACTTGTGTGAAATGTTTAAAATTAATAATGCTTGCACTATCTATTTATGTATAATTATTGTGTGATGCTAAACTACTTATGTATAATTATTGTGTAATTTTTAACTATTAATGTATAATTATTGTGTGCTATTTGCTTGATTAATAAAATTACCTTATTTATATAACTTGTTTTGTTGATCTCAGAAATGGATTACAAAACGAATGGAACAACATCCAAGATGAATAATGGAGATATATGTATACCAGACAGTGGAACAACGCACACTATTCTGAAACATAGAAAATATTTTTCTAATTTAAAACCGACAAAGATTATTGTCAATACAATCTCAGGTCCTGCAGACTTGATTGAAGGACTGGTAACGCTAATTTTGCATTACCTAATGGGACGAGATTCTCAATAGATAATGCATTATTTTCTCCAAATTCGAAAAAGGAATTTGTTGAGTTTTAAAGATATATACCTTCAAGGGTTTGATACTCAGTCAGCACTGAGGATGGAAAGAAGTATATGTATATTACTTCTGAAAAATCAGGAAAAGTGAAAGTATTGGAAAAGTTACCAAAACTCCCTTCTGGTTTGCATCATACATATATAATGAGATAGAGTCACATCTAGTGATCAAAAGAAATCTTGATGATTTCACAATATGGCATGATCGCCTTGGCCATCCTGGTACTACTATGATGCGAAAAATTATTGAGAA